TTTAGCGTAGAGAATATTCTTTTATAGATAGTTATAATAGTAGTAGAGTAATAAAAGAGTAAGAAAACTAAGAGTAACTATTTATAGAAAGTATATAAGTAGAACTTAGTATAAGTATATAGAGGCTTATTTCTGTATCTAGTACACTATATAGTGTTATATAATTTAAAACTCTTAATATATCTAGAGTTTACTCTAAAGGTTATTAATAAACTATAAAGAGCTTAGCCTATTACAAGACTATACTACTACTAGGTAATTATAATAAAAAGCTGTTTCTAGAAAGTATTAAGTAGAAAAGTAATTATTAGATTCTAAAAGGTAACACTATACTACTAAGTCTTAGGTTAAAGAGTTTTAATAAGTAATCTACTATAAGTATTAACTATAATTAAAACTTTCTTAATCTAGCTAGATACTCTAAATACTAGATAGTTATTAACTTATAACACTAACTATATAGGACCTAGGTATAAATATCTAAACTAAGGCAGTGTTATAGTAATACCTAAGCTAGCTAATTAAAGAGCTAGTATTTCTATATTAGTATACTAACCTAGTTTAGCGTAGAGGGAAAGGCTAGGACACTAAAGCTAGTACACTAAGGTAAGGACACTATAATAAAATAAAGAAAATTAAGTACTAGGTTAGGTATAGTAGATAAATAGTTTAGAAATATACTTTTTAATATAGTGTAGAGGTAGTAGATAGCAAATAGTATAATAGGCAGGAGGAGAGGCTTTATTAGGAGTAGAGGTAGGTATATAATATATATCTTAGTCGTTTTGTATAAAAAACAAAAGGAAAGTCGTTAAGTAGGATATCTAGTTAAATAACTTAGTAAAATTATTAGTTAGTAATTAGAACGTTAATCTTAGTAGCCTTAAACCTGTTCTATTAACCTCTAAGGAGCAGATTTCCCTTACATCTAGCACTAATAAACCTTGTAGTTTACTGCTTGTATATTATTATTAAGCTTAATTGTATAGTTGCTAAAATAAGTTTAGCTAGTCTCGCAGGCTATTATACACTGTGTACTGAAATACTTACAAGACAAACCTCGCAACCCCCGTACCTTCTATTAGCAGCCACAAGGGGTTGAAGTATAGCTGTTACTCCAAAACAGCATGTCGTATACAGATCCAGAATCTTGGAAAACAGTTACTAGTAGTCCAAGTTACAGCTACGACGATGCCAGTATACGCGTAGGATGTTCTCCCGCGCCGCCCTGCTGTTTGACTCTCAAAGTTTTCGACGCTCAGTCGATTACATTCCTTAGAAGCGTTTGTCGCACTTTCGAATTCACCAGTGAACATCACTGGCACAGGGACAATTCAATTTTCTTCGGGTTGTGGTGGCTCAAGTTAACGCTCGAGCTCTTTCAAGTACTACTCCTGGAGACGGATGGGTGAAAATACTAGCAAGGTGGGGAAGGAGCAAGAGTAGAAATCAGGATCTGGAGGAGTGAAGCAAAGACCAGGGAGAGCATTGGCATGTTCGCCGAAACGTGTAAGGGCCTGAATGAGGAGAAGACCGTCCCGGGATGTGGCGTGGTAATACTATACATGAGGAAGCTTTTCAATTGAGAAACGTCAGTGATTGTGTCGATATACTCGACTAGCAGTGCAGGTCGGACTTGGACATTGGGCGAAAAGAACGGATTGACATTGATTAACGACAACACTGACAATGAGCTTGACTCTTACATGACTTCTCCGAGTTCGGCCTGGCCAATTACATCTACGAGCACCTCACAACTCAGTCGAATGATGTAAACTATAGTATCCATCTCATCAGAAGCGTCGCCTTTCTTCGTTCTCTTACGTTCGAACTCTACAAACCCAATGTCCCTCTTACTCCATTGACCGTAGCTGCACAAGCCATCCCTAGAAACGCCACATCTCTAGGTACAAACCAAACACATCCTTGCATCTACATCCTAGAACAAACACCCGCTCCATCAAGACCGTTATGTCCACTCTCATCACTGACGCCCTTGAGGTAGCTAAGAACCACAAACAAGATATACGCAGAGTCGTACCAAAAGTCCCAGCCGTAAATTGTGCAGAAGAAATTACGAACGTAAGAAGAAAATGAGACCGCGTTGAAGAGCACGCAGGCTCAGCTAAGGCGAAGAAGGACGTTGCATGGTCTGTTCTTCGTGAAGAGCTGGGATGGGATGGGCAATGCGGCACACTTACTTTTCAGCCCATCGCCTCAACGCCGCAGGTATGCGTTTGTGCAAGGCTCTTAGGGAAGATGCACCGATAACAAAGAGAGCAGGGTAAGAGGTTCAAGACGTCTATCCGTTGGCATAACACACAGCAGCGTTTTTACGGTCCCTGCCAAGTTTACTCGCAGCTTCGATATCTTGTAGCTGTGGACGAGTCGACAGATTCTAAGCTGGGTATGCAGATCCGCCGTTTGTCACGACGGATAGCAGTATTACATTTATCCAGTGACGCTTCGGAGCGTGCGGGGAAGGTAATGCAGTGAAGCAGCGGTTCGCTTTTAATTCGAGTAGAAGATAGAAATGGTGAGATTTGGTAGCCATGTGAGTCTGTACAACAACGAGAGATAATAGGAATAGAAGAAGCTCATTTACTAACCAACATTTGCAAGACATAGTTTTTAGCTGATGAGATGTCTGCCCGTTCTGAGACGGAGTGCCTACCAACCAATCTTTTGTGTAGCACCCGCCAGCTCATCTCACGAAGTCTCAACCACACCCTTCGTTTTATGTGTGGCGTGCTGGAATGGTAGTTCAGCGCTTCTAAGAAGCTACCGCTGTATATTTGCTGTACGAGGATGTTCCACTTTGTGTGCAGTTCCATTGATATAGAGTGATGTATTCGGCCTAGCGCTTGACTGGGAACAAATATCGCAGGCCTAAAAGCTATGATATGGCGAGGGCTGAATCACCTGTAACGGAAGAGCGTTAGCACTGGCGCATCAAGGAGATACACTGCTGACGGAACTGGCCTGCTACAATCGGTGCGAGTATTTAGGACTACTTACTATGGAACATGAGCTGGCCAACTCGCGCTGGCTTTACGAGCGATATGCTACTTGGGTACGACATGTTAATCAATTCGTGTCTCCGCCATCAATTATAGGCGGTTGTTCTACTCGCTAAAAGTCCTGCACCGCCTCATGTCCCGGTCAAAGTCCAAATCGGCGACGATACGCTGGCTGCCAATGTGCACCATGTGTTGGTTCCCTCAATCTCGGAGAGGTACACTGCCGCACCTCCCTCTACGTAGTGCGTTGCCAAAGACTCAAAGCGCGGGTAGTGGGCAAGATCATGCAAGTAGGAGTTTGTTGGAAAACGCCGCTCGTTGCGACGACGCATCTTAGCACTGACTTGCGGCAAGCTGCTGTCCTTCAGCTATCACCACGTTGTTCCAGGGAAGCCGTCTCCTTCGCCATGACGAATTACGCGGACAATGGCGACGGAGACGGCAGCTCTGCGCGGGACGTAGACAGCGGTAGCAGTAACGGTGTTCGGAGGCGGGGCATCTGCCGCCGTAGCGCTGCAGCGGCGGATATCATGGAATAAAAGGTTGGAGAGGTCGCGGGCGCGTAGCAAAATGCGCAGGGCTGTGGTGTTGCCATGTCGGATTTCGGCGCTCTCGATCATCGCTGCGCCAAGCCAGGGGACGATCGTCGCATGACCGCGTGATGAAACTTGGCTTAGTCAAGCGAGGAGATCTGGCCACGTGATTCAATCTCATGGCGAGACCCGGTGGTGGTGAGCTCGACTCAATTGATCTCATTATGCATAACAGAATATTCATAAACTCATCGCAAATGCTGAACCTACTAGTATGCCGTCCCCACCATGCCATGACTTGAGTTGCTTACATAACCCATTATCACGAGTTTCCAGGCGAGTATCTCGGAATAAGTTCTTCCTAGTCCTATTCTACAATTCAGTAGAATTGCATTTGACGTTCGTTCGGTAGGGCCAAATACCATCTTGCTGTCTGTCTCCAATTGGTTTGGAAGACATTACGTGACCCACGGGGTCGTGGGGGTGTTCGAGCCGGATCACGAGATAATGTCTTACTTTACATTCCTTTGCATAGACAGTGAGACCATGACATTATTGACCCTCCAGCTCGCTTTCTACACACAGTGCACAATACCCAGAGATCTAGCAATCCACCAACTTACTCACTTCAAGCCCGAAAGCTGCAAGCACACAACCGATCTCTCAAAGATCGTATCCTACGTGCATTCCAAGCATGCACACCTCTTGTTCCCATCATCTAGCCTCGCCGAAATTCAGCGGGCGCCGGTAGATCTGGAGGTCACTGTAGAGCCTTTCATGGACACGTGTAGATACTGTAAGCTGAGACTAAGCGTGTCGTGAGGCGGGTATAAGCTTATCATCACAGAGGCGTAGTGGAGCGCGAAATGTGCGGTTCGCGGAGGATGCAGGATTGAATGCGCTACCCGGGTTGCCTGCCGCTCCAGCGACTACGGTCGTTCATCCCTGCTTTGATGGACGAGGGTGGTTTCTATACGCCTGCTGCGACGCGCCATGAATGCTGGTGAGGGCCAGATAGCAGCCCCAGACTCCACCGACTACGATGCGCCCAGAAGATGTGTGTTACATCTTGTCCTCTCGATACCCACAGCCAAGCGTGAAGGAGTCGGCTTACGAGGCAGGAATATCGCGTCGTATCGCGTTGAGCTTGTTGAGCTTGTTGGGCTTAGCCGGGAGCCTCATGTGCTTTGCGGGCGACATGATGGCGCATAGGGTGGGATGCGCCGCTCGTCACGTCTCTTCGTTGTGTTGCAGACGACCAACAACATAATGCGCGACCAACAACACGATACGGGCTGCTTTTCCTGTAACGGCTGTAGCTATGTCTGCGCGTAGTTCCCATGAATCTCTACATGGTCGCTGGGATGCCTTCTTGGGATGCCAGCAGACGCGTCTCGCTCGCACGGTACGACTCTTCCACCCCGTGACCTGGATGACGAGAGCGATACTAAGAGTACCCCACAGGCAGCAGTAATTTGCACACGACCCTGAAACGCGCTCGTCCTTGCCGCGTCCCAAGAGCGGGCCTCGAGTGCCTACGGTGCGCCGAACGAGCTAGACATGCATCGGCGCAGTCTGTACCACCCTATCAGAGAAGCGCCCTGTATTCGCCAACCCTGGGTAGCTGCAAGCTTGTTGTAGTGGGAAGACGCAGGACATAGCTGCCCTGGCTGAGCGTGTGCACATGGGCTTGCGTTGATTGAGGACGCGGGGATTGCAGCGTCATTGGGAGGACGAGGATACGCTTGCATTGGACGAACAGGCATGGGATGTGCTTGGGGGCATCACGGAGGAGAAGGGCCTGCGTGTGTTAACTAGACACATCGTGGATATGCTCGCATGTGGTGGAGCGGAGAAGGGTGCGCCGGTACAAAGCAGCGAGATGAGCAGGTCAAGCTCACGTCACGCATTGGGGCAGAAAGCCGAAGCTGGGTTCGTCTTTGAGGCATGCATAAAACCCGCACAAACACGACGAAGCGCACGCGTACTATCGGATAGTTTGGTTGCTCACGATGACCCGCATTGGCTCACCACCTCCCGCCTGCTTGGGTACAGTCGCTCTCAGTGCAGCGCTCCAAGGTACACGCTCGGGAACGGAGACAAAATCGCACCTTCTTCGCATGGTTGGGAAACATATCGATGGTGCTGCTGGCAGCTACCCGCATATGGGGGTAACGGCTGCAAAGATTTTCCACGATGGCTGGCAACAACCACGATGCGGTTTCCTTCAACCCTGACTGGTTCCGAAAACGCACGTCGTCGCTACATCATAGCATTTGAACTTTATCACGGTACTCTACGCGGAATTCTACGAGCCGATCCCTCTGGACATACTTCCCCAGCCGTTTCCAAACATGATTACCCACTGATGATTCGAGCTACATTCCTTACTGTACCGGCCCTCATGGAACGCGCATACGTTGACTATCTCCTCGCAATCATTACGGAGCACAGAGATTGACTTCGAGTCTTGCACTTGCTATCTCATTGCTATTTTCCTGCACCGGTACCCTCAAAAGCTGTCCCCAATGGAGAAGCTCAACTCCACTCTAATGCATGAAACCAGACGACACGCTCGAAATTCCTGCTCTTCACACCGCGCCATAACCTATCATGCTGTCCTCGTCGTTGACGTGGCCTTCTCTTTGCTAGGCCGCAATACAAAGAAGGCGTTCATGACTAGAGTCACTTAATCTAGGTGTTACACCCAATTTTCTATCACGAGAATGCACGACGCTCAAACACACTCACTCATTGAACCCCATGTTGAAGTGAAAACATGCAACATCACTAATTTACCTCTTCAGTATGCCGAGGATGCGATCTACTTCGTCACCCACCTAATCTCCAGCTCCGACTGCGAAACGGCATCAGAGAGATCCTGCCACGGTCGAGCAAACTCGCGTGGATGAAGAAGAGACACCGTGCCTACCGAACTTCCTCAGCATGCCGACGAAGAGCTACTTGACCATTTTGGCGTAGCACGCCCACGGGAGCTCCTCGTCCGATGATCTTCATCGTACAGGAAAAGCGGTCTGTGGTGCTGCTTGTGTCACCATCAACACCAACTTCGAAATAGTACAAGAGGCTGCTGACCTTGATCGAGCGTACTTGGGCAAGGTGGGAGGGTCGAAATGACGCGTTCTTTGGGCAGTGACGCAGATCATCCCGCGGCCACTCTCAGCTGCTGTGAATCAGTCTACTCGCTCTGTCTTTGACATCAATTGGAGTGATGGTAGTCAGCCATGTCAACGACAAGACTCTGCCCGGCATCAAAAATAGGAATAGCAGATGAGACACTATGGCCGGATTGTAACATGGATCAGAAGAGCAAATGCTTATTAAATTTGCCCAGTACCAGGACAAAGAGCTGCGTGACTACTCTGGCACTGCGAACGCTCCGGATTTCCCTATCGTTTTCAACTTTGAAATTCGAAGCGGTCCTGCAGACGATTTACATCCAGGTAAAGAGGAAGACATTATGCCATACTGTGGTGAGCGAAATTCAGACAGAAGACTGGAGATTCGTGGTAACAAGAGACGAGATCATGGTAGTATGCGCAGAGCGTCGGAAGTAACAGCCTATCCGGCTCGCCGGTCATTTGCTCATGGTGGGTCTCGGGGAGAATGGATTGGTGTAAGTCTAACTGAAGGCTGCGACGATTTTACTACAAAAGTTGGCTCCCACGATTCTCGACTCCCATCGAGCCTGGAGCCCTAGCCTACCCAAGCAGGAAATGACGCGGGGTCGTGGGGGAATGGCGGCGATGGCTGGAATGAGCTCAAGGAGCGATCACACTAAGTGTGGGCCGAACAAGATATACATCATCATGAGTTGGGGAAGTCAAGTGAAACTCATGCTCGCCGACCAGAGGAAACCCTTGAACGACCGGAAGTAGAGAGTAGGGAAGTCTGGTAAGTCTTGTGTCAATTTTGTCAAAGAGTCGTGCATAACCAGCAATCTGGTAACTTACATGTCGTGCTATCGATCATACGTGGTACGACCCATGCTGTAGTAATAATTGACTGTACCTCCCCTATCGAAGCGGCCATTCTTTCAAGTACCTCGCGCTGTGGGAAATGTGGCAGTAGTCTATGATTGAACTGAACTTACAGACATCAACACTCGCGTTGGTTATACAATCGCTGAAGCCTCGAGAATCGGATCAGCATCTCATCGAGTTCTCAGCGGACCTTTTAGTTCGGGAGAAGCAGTAGCATTACTCGTGTGCCGACAACAACGCTCGATATCCGCTCGAATCCCGAAGCGTCTTTCAAACACAAACATCATCCCAAGACAACTTCGAGCCGCTTACCTCGGTAGGGCTTGACGTCGATACCTCAGCCAACGAGTTTGCCGCAGGCGCCAAAGCAGAGATCGAGATCAAGATCCGCAAGGAGACTCGGCTCGAGGCAGTCCAAGTCACGACCGCCCTCGGACAGATCCCGGCATAGGAGGCAGACGTAATTTCGGTCGAAGCGGCGTGCAGAACCATGGATAGTTAATGCGGGCGTACCAGTAACTACTCGGCTTTCATTAAGACTCTTATTTTTGCAAAGTCGTCGAAATTTGGAGGTCATAGAGCGGATGAAACTAGTTCCAAGGAGCCGGTTCCTGTACAATGCCGCGCATACCAAAGCCGATGCAAAGGAGGTTGATATGCCGAAAGCAAGGGCTCGTTTTGCGAACACCTGACAACCGATTTCACGAATAAAGCCCAGCCGACCAACACGTATTTTTATGCGCTCCTCCGCTATGTATTATCGCCGTGTCCTCGCTGCCACACTCAGAGCCTCAGCAGCGCACTGGACAACGACTCCAATACTCTCGTGGCATAGCATGGTTGAGCCTGCCCTTACACTTCTCCAGACATGCGGCAAGCTCGAGAGCGACTGAGGACGTCCATTGACGAGCGCCACCAACATGTCCTATGCAAACTACACCCACTACTCGAATCTTTGAACGTACTTGAAGTTACGCATCTATGTTCCTGCTTTACTTTTGGATTTGGTTGAGCGTCGTGGTACGCAAGGCTCGTCCGAGCCAGTCGAGGTTGAGGGACGTCGGACCGTGCAGGTATGCAATGTAGAAGTTGTTGTCTAATAAAGGTGCAGGGAAGTGTCACAAGTGACTACATGGAACAGAATATTGAGCAGTTCGTATGGTGTTCGTGTTCATTCAGTGACTTCTGCTGCTTGGTTGTCGTTGGCACAAATCCCCGGTCCACCCACGATACCATCAAATCCATTACATGTGGCGTGCGGAAGCGATGTGATAGCCAGGATCATGTTTCATTCTCTTGTCCCTTCTATTCGAGATCTCTTCATTTCAAAATATCTCTTAATCCCGATTCTCGAATTTGCTCCGTTAATTGCTTATAGACACATTAAGTCTGGGTTTACACAACGCAGTAAAAGTATAGATTTCCTTGGATCTACAGAGTCTATTGTGGAGGAGTGTACTGGTCAACATACTACTTGAGTGCGCTCTCATGGTCTCTATCTTCCCGGTCGACTATGATAACGGAGAATTCAGCCTACCCATGGGTCGAACGTGTGGGCTTTGCAGAGTCGATGAGCGGTTGTAGCGCCATCATTATAGGCAGTTGTATTCCTTTCTCTTTCGATGTTACCTGTCTCATTGTGCGCTGCCAGTGCTTTCCGGATCTTGCGATGGCTTCTTCGTCATCGCCGAATTGTGATGAATCAATGGGTTGAGTTGACTGATACATTTCCAACTACCGAGGTAAGGGGCGGTACATGTGGTTAGCATTAGATATGGCAGCATGCAACGACCCAATCTACCTCAGGCAATATCCCGTTTGAACCAAAGAAGCGAGGCTGCAGCCCGCCTTGGAAGGGGCCCCTTTTGAACGTCCAAGCCAACGTCGCCACTTTCCCTTTTGTAGCTACAGCCCAGCCCGTATGGTTTTATTATGGGCTTACATGCATTTCATTTCGCAACGAGCTGGGGAGTCGTGGATAACAAAAGGGCAACGATGATAAGGCTATAAAAGGCACTTACTACAACCAGACACAGTACATCCATGGCCTTGCGCCCATTATCATCGAGCCGGACCATCATCATCGAGATGGACTATTATCATCGAGGTGGACCGTTACTATCGAGACTGACTATTATCATCGAGACTGACCATATCATCGAGACTGACTATATCATCAAGACCGACCATGATCGTCAAGACCGACTATCGTCATCAAGATGGACTATTATTGAGACGGACCGTCATCATCAAGACTGACCATATCATCGACACCGACCATCATCGTCGAGACCGACCATTACCGTCGAGATGGACTATGATCATCAAGCCAGACCATCATTGAGACAGACACACTGCACCAACGACTACATTGTCATTGACCAGCTTCTCCCAATCTAGGGAGCAGCAACTCGAACAGGACTAAGGCTCAGTAGTGCCAGTCTCAGCTTTTGGCATGGACTACAAGCAGACTCACCAGCCACTCGCCGAGAACAAGGTCCGAAGCCGTGACTACTCGAGCAACCTCTGGGATACCCTCATCAAAATCATCGCGCTGCTGATACACTATGCGTTACCATAACGTTCCGCCTGTATCGGGCGCAGTGTTGTAGAAGGCGTGTGCTGCTGTAGTGAGGACGTCGCTGGATACCGAGAGCTCGGAGTAGTCAAACATCTCATCACTGTTTTGGTGGTGGGATGTACCTATAGCGGTCTCCTTGATGTTGAGCCGGATGCACTCATTGCCTTTCAGCTGCGTAAGGAGCGTTTCAAGTGCCACGACACCCTTTGCAACAACCGCTGTGAGGATACGCAGTTCGAAGTCATCGCGCCTAAGCAAAGATAGGAGGATATCTTCAAAAGTCAGGCTTTCCACTGCCGCCGCCAGCAGTAAGTTGGTGAGTACGGGCGAGGTAGGGTTGGCGTGCAGTGATGCGAACAAGCTCGTAGCAGTATCGGAGGAGCTGAACAGCCTCGTGGAGCAAGTTGTTTGTTGGCACGGTGCCTCAGTGGAGAAGAATACTGGTGCAAGCGGCTGCTACGGGATGCGATGTCTACAACAGTACAGGGTTCTGGTCGAGCGGAAGTCCACGACTTTATTTCCGTCTCCTTGTTTTCATCCTCGTTCACGCGCACGGAAGACTTCTTGAGAATATCTTGATTGGAAAGGACATTGTTAATGTAAATGGCTCAAAGAGCTCAGAATTTTCGTTTGAGCATCACACCGATCTTGAAAATAGCACAACGAATGTCTTCCTGGAACGGGGGCTCGAGCAGGACGCCTCATTTCTTCGTTGGGCTATGTAGCGATCCCGTTGTCAGGGGTTGTTCTTCGGCGTAATGGAGATCGACGGCCATGCCCACATGCCACTGATAGCATAGCCTACCGCACTTCTTCTCCCGGTTTGATGGTATTGCTATACTTGGTGAGTTCCTCCGGCATTGAAGATGCGCAGTATCCGTTGGCTACGGCCGCAGCCAGGATGTCAGCCGTGATCAGATGAACGATCTCCGACTCACACTTGCCGGCAACTGGCGTATCATGGCCACTCCACAGTTGATTTTGCTGATGCTATCGCCACAACCATGAACGTCAAGTCGAGACAGCCTCCAGCATTCAACTGCGTCAGGTTTCCCACTACAGCGTAAAGCACGCCCCTGGTGACAACCAAATCCCCTCTTACGCCTCTTCCAAAGTACCCCCAACTGTACCAAACACAACGTTCTCGAGCATACGTTCCAACCCAGCCAGCACGTTTTAAAGCTCGCCCCGAAGAAGTCCGACCATCTCCCCACCAGGATCTTGGGTGCCTGCAACTCCTTCTAGGAGCTTCATCGACGGCTGGAATCTAGATGGTCCTTCTATTGGCTTGGCTGTTGTGTGCAATTCTTTTGACCTTTTACAAAATTGTTATGAGAGCAAGCTTAATATATGGTTAGCGGAACCGATTTATCGTTTTACCCAATGTGGTTGGCGTAGATTCCCATAAGGTTCCGAGTATCCCGGAGCGCTCTCAGTAGCTCATATTCCAACTTGCATTTGGGATGACAGCAAGATTGGAGTTCGAACGACGCAACAAATTACTAGACAGACAGAGAAGACCAAGCCCGGGGATTTCAATAGATAGATGACCTCGGATCAGATGTCCCGGCTTTGCCCAGTATTCCCACACCTGCTACCAGCAAATGAGTCCCCCAACCCGATGACGTCAGCGTGCTCTGAGCGCCGTTGCGCACTTTCCGGTCACACCACTCCAGCTCGGGTAACGGGCATGATGGCTCCTATGCGGCTCGAACTCTGGATGCTTACACTATCATTTCTCGAAACCTCGCCTCCATACAACGAGCGATGACCGACGCGCGACGAGCGCCCTTCCTGCCGTACCTCCGTACTCGCAACGCGCCCAACTCCGACGCCGCACACGATCAGGCCGAAGCCCAACACTCGAGTGCGGATGCAGCGTCCGTTGACGCATTTCGCTCCAGCGGCAGCGCCATTTGAACGTCGCAATACCAACACGCAGACTTTACCATGGATGAATAATCAGCGGCCGATACGACGCCAACGCCCAAGGCGACACGCTCGCTCGTCGCGGGCATTGCACGCGCTGCACGCACTCCAGCCATTTCGATCCAGCGCGGCACAGGCCCTTGATCCAACGTCGCCGAGTAGCCGGGCGAGCGCTCTGCCGGAAGTCGTCGAGACGCGCCGCACTGCAGATGTTCACGAAGATGCGCGTTGGCTGTTGAGTTAAGAGCGCGACAGAAGCGTGGAGAGTGCGGCTGACCCAACTACAGATACGTCCAGACTCCGCGAATCATGACAGCAATGCTTCACGAAGCTTATGCCCGAGACACCGCTAGACCACCGCTCGGCGCATTGCACACGCGGTACCGCTTCCCAGACGGTGCCGAGCTCGACTACACCGATCGGATGAGGATCGAACGTGCAAGGGCGCTCGAGCACGCCTATACTCGTACAACGACCGTTGATTCGCGGTTGAGACGGCACATCTGCGTTGGGGAGACTGGTCTGGACTGGTACCTCGAAGCAGGTCTTCTCCGGCATTCTTGATGTGCGATGATATCGGTCGGCATCTCAGCACTGGGGAAAGGTCATGGGAATTCTCATTCGCCTCATGTTCGCAGCGAAATCCGTCGTGGGTCGATAGTCGGGCGGCGCAAGTTCCGAACGGTTGAGGGCTAAAAGACTGCGATTCCAAGTCTACGTCACACACAACAAACATGTTGAAGGCTACGATTTGAGTACTGGAGCACGGGCTCGATCGTGCGGATAGCAGAGAATCTTGTCTACGCCTTTGTCTCAGGTTGAAAGGGCGGAGACACATGTTCAGCAACACGCTGACTAATTCCACCCGGCACGAGCTCCAGCTTCGCGAACCGCCGACGCCCTTCTCGCTGTGCTCCTGGAATTGTCTGCTCCGTTAACATTATTATCGCACTTGTTAGGCCTTCGTCATCCGCCTTCTAGAATCATATCGCAGGGACATGCTGGGGGAACAACCACATCAGCGACCGGGACTCAACACTTGAACGCCGAAAGAGCGTCTTGAAGGCTGCCAAGGCTCCAGTTCTACCCTGAAATGCATACCAGCTATGCTGCAATAATGAATGTGCATGCGCCTGCTCAGAACCGTCGCCTACCTCATCTTCTACTCCCACATCTTCGCCAATGCCGTCGCTCTTACATCATCTCAGCGAATATCGTTGGGAGAAGTCTTGGTCAGCATTGACGAGCGAATATCACGTTATGCTTAGCGAAACCATAACGTCGCTGAAACGAGTCTCGCCGTATAGCCAGAGCAGGTTACAGGTTCATCGGATTGCAACGCTACACAGCGCAGCCGGAAAAGGTCAGGAACCGAGCTAGCATTCGCGGAACAACACCTATCATACTCATCTCTGACTCTGGGTATACCCATCCAACTACAGCCACCCATGTTTTCCACCATCAAGAAGTACACAGAAACAGCAAATAATTTTATCCCCATCTCTCTTCAAATATAAACCACCTACCCAGGCGTCGAAATACCTCTCTTCACGCTTCACCGTACCAATTATCGCCTCCCCAACACCATCTACAAGGCCGTGCCCCGTTCCTCAAAGCTCGCGAAGATCCTCGTTGAGAGCATAGCATATACCTACTCCCCCCCTTCCCCTAAACCCGCCCGCACACCTACTACCAAAAGAGGGATGACTCTCGTCTTCCGCCCCGTCCTTTGCAAGCCTCATGGCCTCGGACTGGCGCTGTCGCTCGGCTAAAGATGTGTGGGCTACTTCGCTGTTTCTGCGGAGGGTTAGGAGGGTTGTGCGGTTGTGGAGGGGGGTAGGAAAGGAGGAACGAGAAGGAAACGGGGATGGGGGATATTGATTAACGACTCAGACGATGTGCTCGTTGTGAAGCTGCGACCTGGTGATTGTGCATTTACTAGAAACTTTTGGTGCTTTGGCCATGATAATAAGCTGCAGTAACTATTATTGTCCGAACTTGAAACACACAGTTGTGAACTATATCTTCTGGTTGCATATCTGCTACATATTCAGCACTTTCCTTAATCTCAAGTTGCTGGAGGATACTAGAATATATAAAGAAATAGCTACACTGCTAAAATCCAGCGTCAATATCTCATCCCATCGAGAAGACCTAGCATGTACTACCCAATAATGAGTCCTTTTCTCATATCATAGAACATATACAATCGTATACCCAACCCATCCCAGCACCAACAAAATCCCTTCCCTCCCCCCAGCTCACAACATTTATACTACTCGACATGCCATTACTCCCCCTCTGCCAAACCATCCCACCGCCCAACCCAACCTCAACCCCAAATCTTGCCTCTACTGTGTATCCCCATCAGCACTCCCCGTCATCACAAAAACAGTGCAGAAGTCCGAGTACAGTACACACCCGAACTCGCAGATCTAGATCTAAATTCCCAACGATATGCCGTAGCAGATTGATGTTATGCTATGCTGTGCTCGGAAATTCGATACGAGGTAGACTGGGAAGGAGGGCTGCGGGTGCAGGGCGTCGGCAAGGAGGGCTTCTGGCGACATGGCAGTTGTTCTTGCGTCGTTGCCTTCTATCTTCAATAAAGAAGACGTTTTGAGATGCGGGGTTGCTGTTTCAATAATCCGCAGGGACGGTAATAGTCTGTTGATTCGGCGGTCGTAGACCATTGTCGGGACTTCGAGATCATATGGTCTTTGTGGGCGATGAGCGGAAACTCTTGTTGAGACTGGGACGTAGCACGGTATGCCATGCGGTTTGGGAGGATTTCGGGCTGAAATCTGACTACGTTTGTTCAGTTTAATGTGCTTCATCACTCCACAAGTTCGTGAGGGGGAAATAGTAAGCGTACATGTTCCGTCGTCTTGCCTTGGTCTGGTCTGCTCGGTGATCCTCATGCGCCTGACAACCTGTTTATCCTACTACCGAGCCGATGGTAAGAGCGATGAACGACCCTAGAGACTCCCAGCAAAAGCAGATCCACCTAACACTGGTGAAGAGTTCGTTCACTCCGCCTCCGGTACGCGAGCTTCGCCCGCAAAACCGGCGGCAAAGCAACATACTATGTCCGTCTTCTGTGAAGTAGACGCAGCCTCGAGCGCTGAAAGTTCTGTAGTGCCGAGGCAGTAATCGACACGTCCTATCGTTTCGATGCGTTCAGCTGGTCTCCCGGCGCGGTGATGCTCACTCGTCACGAGCGTCACTACCTCCGTCCTTGGGTGATGTGTCGCCCATATGAAACGATCTCCCTCCCGCGGCATGACTGGCTTGACATGCCGTCGCGCGTTGCCGGAAAGCCGGGCACAAGCGTGAGTCGTATGCGCAACGATGTATCAGAGCCTGTTCGAATGACGGCTGGTGTCTGAAAGACATGCGACGATGAGGCTTGAGTCGCAGCCGACGGCGGTTCAATTCTCGTGCTTGCGGTCATGAAGATCCGCATTCCGGACAGCTTCCAAGCTGCCTCCTTCCTACTCAGCGGTTGAGCAAGCGGACTCGGCTGGCTCGGTAGTCTCGCATATAATTGCCGTGGAAGGAAAACGAAGGGCGCTAACGCCGCGGAGACGCCGGGTATCGTGGCCGAGCATTCGGCGCCTCGTAGCCGCAGCTGGGGTGTTTGTACTCGTATTTCACGCGTGTGGTATGGGCGAGTCGCATTCCGTGAAGCCAAGCGGAAGTAGAAGTCTGGAGCTCTGGTACCTCGCCTTTCTCGTCCTGATCTCTGCGCGCGCAACAAAGACGATCTGAGCGAGCCCCAGAATGGCGGGTACACGGCTCAGCTGGGCCCATGGCTGTCCTCCTGCCTTCCGTTCTCGGTGTAGCCAATGCGATGTAATGTGATTGCGCGAGCTGCTTCCGAGCGCCATGCCATCGCGCCCGTAGGCGCAGATTCTTCTACACGTGTCTTATACCGCGTGCGTATCCGACGGTCGTATAACGCTCCTCGTTGATGTGGCGCTGAGTGACTCAACGGCGAAACACCGACGCGTCGGACTTTCTTGCGCGGCTAGCTGTGACGTAACTGAGACAGCGCTGAGTGCAGGGCGGGTTACGGCATCTCGCGTAGTTCCTGGCGCGTGTGATGGTGTCGAGGTGAGGTCGTTCCGGCGTGGACGGGTGTGCGGCGCGGACGTGGCATTGGAGAGACGCACCTAGTGAGGGTGCTACGAGAGGACGGTCTTTTGCTGCGTCTGCTGTGTTAGTTTCTGTTAGTCCGACTATAGCAGTGTTGAGCGCGGCGGGTGTCTACGACTTACAGCGTCTTTCTTTGCCTGTTGGGCGCAGCGGGCGCTGCATCTTGGCGTTGAAGCTGTTCAAGCCGTCCAAGTCTCGCTCACGGCCGACGTGCTTGTGGAGGTGACGCCGTCGCTGCGGATATTAGGAGTCGAGGCGCATGGCCTTCTGCGAGCAGGCACATGATGCGGGAACGACCAGCAGGCGTGGGTGTAGCTATCGACCGTGAACGACCGCGAGCGACCGGCGTCCTCGTGAACCTGGAATGTGTAGAGTTAGTCTTGGCGCAAGGCTCTTCATTGCATTTACCCGCCACCACGACTAGGTACACCAAGTATTGAGGAGGGTCATTGAGATGGAAATCTCAATTATTACTCGCTTGTTTTTCTACTTCTATACATCTTCCCAAACGTGTTTGTGAAGCGATGTTTTCACATCTTGTCACCGAGTTCGGTTTCGTCACACCATGGAACTCGACTACATTACATGATGATGATGATCTGGCTGAGCAACATGCTATTCACAGTTCTATTCGCGATGATTTGTTGCATATGTGTAACTACATCTCTCGCAGAATGCTACAAAGCGAGCAGTGGGGTATGAGGGAGAATGATCACCTATGAATAAACATGCGCGGCAACAATCTTATGAGCCCGAACTGATCCAAGGCGAATGATCAGAAAGGAAGCGCGGATAGATCGGCTTACGTGAAAGTTTGTTACTGTGTTATATGCAGCCTGGGTTTGGATTTCCTTCCATGATGGCATGGATGCAAATCGTAGAGATAAACCTCAGCAAACAGGTATGGCGAAGTATATTACGGTAGATAGAATACACAAGTGTTAACAAGTCCAAGCCGCGCACCGCAGTCGACGCTTGTCTAGATTGTATTTCCAGAAGTCGTTGTGATGCTATGGCCAAGTCGGAGAAACAGACTCGGCAACGTTTCGTTCACTTCAATGCGACATGAGCGGATTGTCTTTAAGAGCGTCGACGAGTCCTGGAGAGAGGCGGAGAAACATAGGTTTTGTACCGAAACTGTTGAGTATTGTGAGGAGAGTTATGAAGGAAGTGACCGCAGTGACTAGATAGCGACACGGAGCCGGTCATTTCTCGCCTTCGAAAAAAGTTTATCAGGATAGCTGATGCACAAAAGAGCCTTGGGTCTGCTTCGCGTCCAAACGTGTAGCCTATGAATTGAGAGAACTGATTCACGACGGTGCTTTGCGGGTGTTTTGATGGCTCCGAGATCTTGGAGTTTCACCTCCTGGTTGCAATCCTTGACATAGAAACTTCGTGAGTGTATAAGGGGCAGCCCGGGAAATTATAGAGGTCACGGGAAACACGTGATAGAACACTAAAACACTCTAAAATACGTGTATTTATTAAAACAGTCTTAAAACAGCGTAAATAATTAGGATTTTAGAACTTAAATTATTTTATAAACTTGTTACTTCTATTACAGTCTTTACACTTATTTGTAAGCTTCTAAAACAACGTTAGATAGAGCTGTTTAGCTATATATTACCTTATTATCTTATCTTGTTGCTAAATCTATTTTATAAGCGCCTCTGCTTTAGCCTTTACTACCTTAGACGTACTATTTAGATTATAGTCTTATAAGAATCCTTTAAGCCTCCTAAAACAGTGTTTAATAGAGTGTAAATCTAGAGAGTTTAGAGAGTAAGGAGTAAATTTAATATCCTAAGCTTTAATCTCTAGAGCGCAATAATAGAGCCTAAGACTGTATAAGTAGACGTTATCCTAGACTAGGTATATATAAGTACTAAGATTAGCCTTATACACAGCTTTGTAGTATAGGAAGAGCTTATCTTTAAGGATCTATTTAGTATACTAAATCCTATTTATACTCTTTCTTAATTTGTATATAAAGTTCTTAATAGAATAGAAGTTCTTAGCAGTCTTTAGGTACTTTATACCCTCTTAGAGAGAGCCTCTCTTCTTGCCTACAGCTTAATTAGCAGCTCTAACGTTATTATTACGTTTAGTAATGTTAGTGTTAATTTCCTATAATACTTAGTGTTCTAGGGTACTATTAATTGCAGCGCGCTTAATCTTCTTCTTAATACGTTATTTAGCTATTTTGTTAACTTACTGTATATACTTAAGTATCTCCTCTCTCTACTTATTCTCTTTTTATACCTATACTATATATAGTCTTTTGTACTTAATAAGAGTAATAGTAGACGTAGTAGTGTATATTATAAGTAAGAATAACAGAGGCTAAACGTATACAGCGTACTTATTAGCGTTATTACCTTTAGGCTGCTAAACATGCTGTTTTCTACTGTATATATTTACCTTGCTAATAGCCTTAGAGGTCTTATTATAGTATATAAATATAAGCTTAGAGTAGTATAAATTAAACTTAGTAAGAAGCTAATTTAAGTAGTTAATATAGAAGTCTTAAGCGTTGCAATTAAGCTTAGGTTTGTAGATACAGACGCTGCAGATAATAGAGTAGTTATGTAGCTTATTATAGTGCTTATAAGTAATTTAGATAATTATGCGTTAACTAAGTAAGACTCTAGAGGCCTTAAGGGTTTCTTTAACTGCTTCTTTAATCTTTATATAGCTATTTTTAATAATAGCTTTACATATATAAGCAGAGAGCAAAGAGCTATTACGTACTTTAATAGAAGCACTAGCTTAGCTTTTATATAGTACTCTATTAAGTATATAAGTAAGAGAATTACTGTAGGTATAGGCCTTAACGTTGTTAAAAACTCTGTTTAGAGTGCTTGCTCTAAGCCTAAGTATACCTGTAATGCGCAGAAAATTAAGCTTAGAGTAGCAGCAAAGTACTACTATAGCTCCCCTCTGTATATCTGTAAGGTTACGCTGTTAATTTGCGTATTTAGAGGTGCGCTAGGGCAGCATAATAAGGTTAAGAGCAAAAAATAATAGTAGGCTAAGTTATAATAGATAGTTTAGAGTTAAGTTTAGAGTTCCTGCACAGGCTACATTGCTTATTAATAAGATTACGTGTTTCCTGTGACCTCTATAATTTCCTAGGCTGCCCCTTGTATGGAGAGTGAATCATGATGTATAGGCTACAAATGAAGAAGGGGATATGTCGTTGACAAGGTCAAGAAAAAGCATGCCAATGGCGAGTCAAGGCGGGAGAATCAGCCGGTAAAGTTGACGGCAAGTCATAACTGAGCACTCCACTCAACCTGAGGAATGTAGGGAAATTCCTCGAGAAAGATGGTCATGGAGATACCAACAATCCGCAACTTGTTTTCCGGCAAGGTGATTAGTGAGAAGATGGGCGTACTCTTCGGCAAACACGTGGGCGCTAGGAAGGTGAGTGTAATAGTGTGGATGATGCTAAGACGCTTGCGATGACTCGGTCGTGACTCCGTTCCAGGCCAACGACTCTTCTCTCCCAAACCACACGCCAGATCTTCACCTTTGAACGCCATCAAAATGACCGACCTTGGATTCAGGTCTCAAGTTCCACCCGCGACTGTGTTTGGAGATGGATGATGAGATGCCAAGAGCTTCCTTCGTCAAGGGATTGATGACGAGAACAAGACATGGCAGATCCTCCACGAACACCGACCCGGAAACACCATGACGCTGTGCAGCAACTCGTCACGACACCCAAATCCCACACTCAAAGTCACGCCATAAACCCGCCCAGTTCCACGTCGCGGTGCTTGGTCGCGGCGCTTGGTCGCTTCGCCAGGTCCATGTCTCGCGTCGTCGCCGCGAAGGCCCCAGCGACTTCTTGGCGACAAACAAACGGCACCAACGCGTCCGTGTCGGCCCCCGCCTTTGTCTGTTCTGCAGCGACTCCCCTCCAGCAACACACCAGATTACGCTCGCTGCAACAACACGCTCTTCTTCATTTACAACGCGCATAGTTCTCAGCATTGCTCTGCCTGTTTGCAGCACTACCTCCACCTGCCCTCCACACCACCCCCGTCGAACTCACACCACCGCCGTCGAACGCACACCGAGACGCCCGCCCCCAAACACCCACCCACGATGCCGCGAGTCAAGAAGACGACGCGAGCCAAGAAGACGACACGAGCCAAGGCAGCAGCGTCCAAGAAGATGTGGGACGCTCTTGACGTCCTGGGCAGCAAGCGCGAGGGCCGCTACTTCGTCTACGAGGTCGCCTGGGAGGGCGAGGACAAGCACGGCGTGCCCTGGCCGAACACGTGGGAGCCGTGGGGCAACTTGAATGCGTCCTTGCAGTGGTCATGGTTAGACAAGATGGATGACGAGGCAGCCGAAGCCGCCCAGCGAGCTTCTCAGGACGATGATGATGCTGCAGCTGCTGTGGGCAATCAAGAGCTGGACGATCAAGAGCTGGACGATCAAGAGCTGGACGAGCAAGAGCTGGACGATCACGAGCTGGACATTCAAGAGCTGGACATTCAAGAGCTGGACGAGCAGGCCGAGCCCATGGTTCAACAGCCCGACGACGCCATGTTCGAGCCCGATCAAGAGCCAGTGGTGCAATTCGGTCCTCAGACGCTCGACGACTTCGTGCAGATGGCGGCTGATCTGGGTGACGCCGACATGATGAGTCTAGCATGGCAGCCTCTCAGAGACGCGAGGCTGCGCATCGCGGATCGGCTTGTCGACTTCTCCTACCGCCTCGACGAGGACGAGCAAGAGGATGAGGATGAGGACATGGCTGATCCGCTTGATGAGCACATGGTTAATCCGCTTGATGAGGACATGGTTGATCCGCTTGATGCGGCAGTAGCAGAACTCGCCATGCCGTGGCCTGCCGTGGCCGAGCAAGTCGACGTGCCGTGGCCTGCTCTGGTCGAGCAAGACGATGCGCAGCTGCCTGCTCCGGTTGAATACGACATCGCGCACCTGCTTGCTCCGGTTCAACGCGAGAATGAGCACCTGTTTGTTCCGGCTGAATACGACAACGCGCACCTGTTTGCTCCGGTTGAACGCGAGTATGCGCACCTGCCTGCTCCGGATGATGACCAGAAGCCGCCGGTCCAGAATGAGGACGAGGACGACGACGAGGATCAATGCATAATCTGCACCAACACCATCAGCACTCTCGGTGGCATCATCAAGATGCCCTGCTGCAGTATGTCCACCATTTCCGCCTTCGCATGCAGCCATCGAGACCAGCTAACAATTCGCAGGGCAGATCGTCTGCCTCGACGATTACTCGACTTGGCGCGATATCCAGCTCGATCCCGGCAACGGCTTCAACAACGGCCAGCCCAACTGTCCTGCGTGCCGCCAAAACTATCGCGTTGCACCAGACGCTTGAAGATGGCTTCTACACGTACCCACACTGGCGTTGGAGCTGCATTTGCGGCGAAGCCAGGAATCACATTGGCATGGCTTGACGGAGAGACTGGGCAGATGGATATGGCGTTACGGAAGGATTGGGCATGGCTTCACAGAACAGAAAAACTTGGGCATGCTTTGCGACAAGAGCTCGCTTTGGGAATACAATTACTCGGCAACATTGGTATAATGAATCACGGCATCTTGGATAGAAACACTTCAGGCGGAACTGGGAACATGGATTGTAGAGTCTCAACATCTTATAATATACACTGGCTCTGCAAACCTTCTTCTTCGAACAGTGTGACTGTGATTCATGACCTGATGGCTCTAACGTGCTAGCTATGTCAAGAGGAGTGAGTGTCCCCGCTCCAACGAGCGACAAGCCCTTCTCGGCCGTCACATCACGATCCTGACGCGTCCAACCCACGACTCAAAGTGCACACCCACACAACCAACACGTACAGTACAAGTATACACGATCCCCGCCTCGCTCTCCTTCGCGTGCTAATCCCTCGGTAGTACATGCCCGGAGCACCCCGCCCATCTCCACCGGTCAAGCCCGCAGCCGCTCGTCATCTATGCAGACCAACTCGCACCGTCATACCCGCACCGACAGCTACAGCTACACAATGACGAGATGATTGGGGAAACCACAGCTCTCTGGATACCTCCTGCATATCAGATCGTCGATGGGCAGTGATTTCTGGGGAATACTGTCTGCTGCAATGACTGCTGTTACTATGTCACGAGAAGGAAGGACGAACCTGAGTCTTGCTCCAAGTTTCATCCTGGCGATATGCGCTTAGTGAGCTGTACATATGCGCAAAGCTCACGAGGCGTTGGATACATCATGGATGGGGCGATGGGCAAAGAGAAGCTGTGGAAGAGAGTTGATTGCATATATCGCTTTTGGGCATTTATGTGTCAAAGTCGCAGCTCGAAAGAGTCGCAGTCGAAAGGAGGAACGCAGTCGAATATAGAAGGCATCAGATCAGCTCATCTCCGTGAGCAAGTACAGTACCGAGATTGCTCCCTTCCCGGAGAAGCCAAACAGTCCATCGCACGAAGCAAATATCCGTGTACTCCGCACACACGCATGAGAATGGCGCCCGTTAAGCGCATTGTACCTCACCAAGCCCAGCAATCAGCCCCAGCTCCCCCAGCACCTAGCCGCCCGATGGACGCGGAGTGTTTATGGTGGGACCCCATTTGATTCCTGAAACGGGCGCCGCAATCACGTTCAGGCGTCGACGGCTGTCATGTTCGGTGATCCATCTGCCCTCGGCAATGAGGTCCTCCAGGGTTGGCGGTCGCTCCTTCTGTTTGGTGACTGGTGTGGGCGAGGCGTCAGCCGAGGCGTCAAGCTGGACAAGGTGGTTGGCGTTGAGGGACGGACTTGACACAACTACAGCATTGTCTGCAGCAAGGATTTGACCGTTGGAGTGCGCGGGCCGAACTTCGCCAACCTGGACACTTCCCTCCGTCTTGGGTCGCTGAAGCGCGACAAGAGGCACAAAGACCTCTGCCTCGTCTCCGCTATCGTCTCCGTCGTCTCATGCGCTGTCAGCGATGAATGGCACCCTCAACTCGGAACTGATACACACCATCTGCAATCTTGCTAGCCTTGGCCTTGACCGTGCCGTCGCCAACGCCATTCCTGGCGAAGGCATTGCCTCGCACGCGGTTCTCCGTTGAAGAAACTAGGGACAAAAGTCAGTTCACGGCCGGCTGTTCGGGCTCGGTCGCAGTACACTCACCATCTGCTTGTAGTATACTCCTGTGTATGGCGTCCTTCAAGAGTGGGACCTCCTTCTTCTTTTGTTTGCGCGACATCATGAGCGCTTGCTCTGGGGTGGGCAGCGGATGGTCCATGTCTGAGGTGGAGTTGGGCCTTTTGTTTGATCTTGTGCTTATCGTCGCAGCAGAGGTTGACGTAGTTCGGCACGAGCTTATCGGCAATGTAAGAGCAAGTAACGAGCAGGTAATTGAGCTCAGTGCGTGCGCGTGGTCAAGTCTCGGTCGCTGTCTGGTGGGCAGATGTTAGCAGCGAGATGAGAATGGTGATTGGTGATTGCGTCTGGGGATGAACGGGTATGGGGGTGAGCCGGTGAACAATTCCCACGATCGCGCCGGAACGATTGACCGAACAGCGTGCTCTACCCGTGGTGAGACTGCTCGACGAGGCCGTGAGGTGAAGGGCGAGGAAGTGGGAGAGTGGACTAGCGTGCCTTTTCATCCGTACACTTCTCTTTCACTGCGGCGCTAGACCGTTGCGTTGGGCGATGATAACTCACTCGGGTGAAGAGGTGAAGCGCAAGGAAATGCAGTACCTGCCTGTCTGCCAGACTGAGCTTCGGACAAGGTGTAACAGCGCGTCGAACAATCAAGGTTGGCAGGTATCTCGCAAGCTTCAACTCGGACTTTTGGAATCATAGCGCTTCCCTACATCCCTAACAAAGCACTACAGGCTTTTGCGTATAGTCACTTGGAGTTTATATACTGTAAGAATTCAATGCGGATACCTCCCAGTTTCAATTAAGCGTCTTGGGAGGCTGTTGCCGCAGCCGTTCGCATATTCGTCCAACTGCCTATTCGCTGCCGCGATGAATCGAGAGAAGTCGTTATCAGAAATATCGGCAGATATGTGACGCTAGTCGCAGTACTGAAAAGTCTATTCAATATTGAGGACATAGACTGAGATTATCTCCAGTACATCGCTGATGAGATACATGGACTCACGGCTAGTAAAAAGCAGTTTGATGCCGCCACTTCTACCGCAGAGAGTTTGCCAGCAGATTTTCAAAACGCTGCACATTGGCTTATACAAGACATGAGGAAGCTCTTTGAAGATGGGGAGCACTCAGGTTCCAGGTTCAGTTCGAGTTCGCTGAGGCGCCCAACTCTATCAACCCAATTTCTACCGGCTTTCGAAGCACCAGTGCTCTACACTCGGTTGGCCCTTTTTGAAGCTCACGGCGGAGGCAATGTCAAGGCATTGCGGGATCGCAAAGGAGCTGCTGACTTCGAGCCGCAAGCGCCGGCAGTAATGTATAAGTCGCTCCGGTTGTATCCACCAATCCGCCGGTGCGTCGTGAGAAGCAAGTAGAAAGTAGGTTTGTCAAACGACACCCTCTATACCGGGGTTCGAGTGCCGAAGTGTAGGATCCTACGCGTTTTCTGAATGAAGATACGAACATCATACCTTTGCTTCTCTGGCCTGGAGCATTGTGGATGCCTTTTGCTGTTGGGTCTTTGAAATGCCCTTCTGCGAACGGATTCTCTGCGCAGCTTGTTGCTGTTATTGTCGGCTGAATTCAGAGGTGCATACTGTTGGAACGAGACAAGAGGCAAGCACTTCGTTGGAGGCTACAAGGTCCGGAGTGGGAAGCTGCATGTTCGGTGGATGGACTCTTGAGAACGGGCCGAGGGGGTTTCGGAAATCTGGAGGCTGTCATGCAGTGGTCAGATATTCCAGAGCGTTGACGTAACGCAACCGGTGGTTACCAAAACACAACGTTTCCGACCTTTAACTCCTCCACGGGCTGCAACAATGATGTAATCGGAATCCGACTCGCCAGATAGTTTCTCCGGTATCTCATCGCCTCCATTCTCGATCGTATCCTCTTTCTTATGCCTCCTTGGTCGTTCACGAGCCTGTTTCTACGCCGTCTCTGCTTCGGCTTCCTCGACCAATATGAGGATATTCTCGGCACTGAACACGAATCTACCTACCACTGCAACTCGCTCGCTCTTGTTTCGAATCTCCCAAGTACCAAGTAGCCTCCTACCTCTTTGTGTTGCTTCCGTCAAGGAACGTCCTCGCTATGCGTAGACTCAAAAGCGCGGCTTGCCCGCTCCATGTACCGTCTCGCTGGTGATGGAAGGTCACAGGAGGCTCGGATTGTGGGAACGAGCAGTATGTTTGCCTGCCTTGGTGCAGTACTATCTAGCAATGAGCTCTTGAGAAACGGGAAGTTCAGGTCGAGCTGCTGTGGGGGTGTATGCGCCGGCGAAGTAGCTGCACTCGATACTATCGGTAGCTTGTTGGGCACGGTTATAGGACTCAACAGCACTAAACCTGCACTATGCTACATGTCAAGGATGTTTCGGTGTGTCAGTGTCTTGCTGCTTGCACGGATATAGATTTCCACCCACTCCACGCGTGGAATGCAGCCTGTATCGAGTCGGAGGGCAGCATCAGTCCTGGAGGTCAAGGTACGCTTGAGTGGCGCGAAAACGCTGACACTTAGCGGTTGAAGTGTATGAGAACAGTGCGGCGGTAGAGTTAGCAAGTGGATTGCGTCCTACATGCGGAATGCTGTGACGTTCGTAGTAATGTGATTGCTATGACCGTCCACGATCAAAAGACTTCAGGCTATCCCATAATCTGGCTCTTCAAGCTCTCAGGTACCAGCAATTAGGACCGCGCTATAGCGTCTAACATTCACTATTGCAGCTCATGAGATCGGACCAGATACCGTCACGCCGACGGCCTCTAATTAGCGGATAGCTGGTCCGGGTCCTCAAGGGCTTGAAGAGCCGGATCATGGGATATAGTCCGTCGGTTTTGTTGGACGCTCAAGAACGGCCGTCAATCACTCGTCACCGTGGCTATCAGACATCCAGCCGTTGTTACTAGTCGAAAATCGCCAGTGTAAAGGTGCTCGTGTAGGTATCCATCCTGTATTCCTATGCTCCGCCTTACAGATTGGCAAGAGTAGGACAGCTCCGCCGGCAGCGCTTCACACTCGATTGCAGTTACCTACTCGTGCCTGCTGTCGAAGCCCTTGACAACCAACTTTCTCTGACTGCGAAACTGAACTCGTCCGTGTTTTAGACGATCTGGAACGTACAGGTCTTCTGTCCAAACCTCCGTTACCGTATTAAACTATCTCTTCACACCAATGTAATTAGCCGCCTTGAACTTTGCGTCATCGATTTGACGTGTCCATATGCCTGCGATGTCCGGTATTCGAGCTTTGAAGCGTGTAAGCGACTTCTGGCCGATAGGTCGAGAGGTTGGTGCGGAAGATCTAGAAAGCTGGTCGTGTCCGCGCTGGGTCTCTTCAGCCATTCCTATAGCTAAGGCAGGCCAGGCGGAAGATCTAGTAAGTGAAATGCGTAGTCCATCATTTTAATGATTTTTGCTTCAGTATTTGCAAGGATACGTTCTGGTTTGAGAGCTTCCGTACGTGATTTCCGTTACAACCTTGTATAGTTGCGTCCAAGACGTCAAACGCGAGAGCAGCTTTGCATATCGAGGTATGTTCGTTATTTTTGGTAGCAGATATGTCCGTTTGGATATTGGCTTCACTGTGCACCTGTTTTCGAGGTGTCTGGAAACTTGTAGTCGTGGTGGTGAGATTCAAGGTGAAGCGTATTGCGATAGGGATGACCGACTCCAACATATAACCAGCTACCCCGTCAATTGCCTCATAAATCGTAGCGTTTGCGATTTTTGGAACTTGTGTTACATCTATTCCTAAATATTATTCTTTCCCTGGTGGATAGCTCGGATCTCAAGATTAGTTCCAAAGATATCATGAATTTGCGTGTTTCAATGGCACTGACATATTTCATCGGTCCATTATCTGGAAATTTGACCTGATAGAATGCTTGTAAGCCGTCGGCTAGCTGAGTGATCTTCTCCTTACAAGGGTTTATGCCATATTGAGTAGTGGATACATTAGTCGCCTTGCGATACTAGCCGAGAACCTTTGGATTGCGCTCCAAGACGGTTAGCATCGGCTTGGCAGGCATCACCTGATACGACAATCCACTTTCCAGGGGCCCGTATCCTCTGCAACACGAAGCTCCGTGCGTGTAGCACGGGCATCCATTGCTTCATCAGGCCGTACTAATGTCCAAGGCTATGGCTATTCAAGGCAAGGGTGATAACAAAGAATACGCGGTCCAAACGCTCGCAGTTATATCCTCAGCTTCACAGCCAATATCAAATGGTAATGATGGCTCGCTCAAAAGTGCTTCATGTAGACTTTGGCTAAGCTTTGTCATTACAGAATTCCTTGATCGTGCGGAAAGCTTGCGGCTTGCTCCTATCTGGGCCGTATTTCAACTTTCTCTCCATCACGTCTGCGCCATCTTAGCACTTCATGGTTGATATCCAATGGCTCGTTGACCTTTTTTATACTGCATCCCATCTAGGAGATCATAGGTCTATTCCTGTATGATTTTCTCTTTTACCGGTAAATTGAGCAACAACTACCTTGTGAGTACAGGAAGTTCGGCGATTCGATCATGGCTCAAAATCTACGGACTCGATATCCGCTGGGATAAACTCAAGATCCGAGAAGCAGTATTGCAGCGTCTATTACGCTTGTAGGGCTTTCCATGAGTGATATATCCATTAACGTTGTGGAGAGTCTAGGTTATCGAGTACTGGACCGTAGGCCAGTTAGGCTTGAGTAGGAAAAATTTGCACTGGTTCTGTTTCATGCTCAAGAGAGATAGGTCGCACTGGATCTCGTGGCTCATAGCCGCCGTCAGGAAGATATTGTTGAATCGCGATCCTTACGTTGTGAGTCCAGCCGCCATAGTGAGAGGCTCGATATATTCTAGCCCCTGGCGTATGGGTATCAAAGCCCGCGCTGTAGAGAACTACATGGAAGAGGTAGTTTTCCTCTATGTATTGTCCACCACGTCCGGTTTCCTTTCTGACTTTCGAAATAGGTGAGGAATCGAGACACAGATCAGACCGTACCATGAGTGATGCTACGTAAGGTTCTTCCATGGAGATCTGGCTAACTCCCTGGCCATTACATCATCCTACAATACCATCGATCGTATTAACGTAGTTGGCCAGGAGGACCGGTTGATACACGTATCATCATGGATTTCCGCAGGCGTTTCGTAAAATGAGTTCAGTGTGACGAAGTACATAATGAGATGACTGGTTTTCCGCCTCAATAACATCGCTGTCAACTATAATACGAGCGATCAAGCTAGCTCCTGCAGATGTGCTATATTCCAGAACAACTTCCGCTCAACCAGAAGCTCTTCAGGGCTGTCCATCTCAGCCAAAGCCCCCTCGTCAATGACCCCAATTAGGTTCGCGTTCATGACCGTTATGAGGCGATGAGCGACCATGACCGTCATCCGTCGTCTGCGGAGAGCATCGATCACCGGCTGCACTTCAGCCTCAGATTTGATGTCTTACGCCGAAGTGGCTTTGTCAAGTAATAGAATGTTGGGATTGCGCAACCACGCGCGTGCCAAGGCGAGGCAATGGTTCTGCCCGCCGTCAAGCATCCGGCTGCTGGTTTCGAGAGAGGTCGAAAGCTCTTTACTACATATATAATGGCGTGTTAGTCAAACAATCCATAAGAACAGAACAGGGATGCTGACTTCTGGGAGCAATTGTACAAAGTTGATGAGGTTTGCCTACTGACATACGTCAACAATTCTAGCATCATCTACTACATCAACGAGGCCCACAGCAATGTTTTTCCTTTAGAGATCCGGAAAACATAATCAGTTCCTGATTGACAAGGGAGATAGCCAATCGATAATGTTGGATATTCATATCGCGGATATCAGTCCCATTGGAATTGATTTAACCTTTCGAGCAAATTATTTCCGAGCATTTGAGTTCTGTTCGGGCATGGGTCATGCTTAGAATGGTTCAGGTTGATGATTGCTTCGAACTCTGGTGCGCTATAAGCCGCCTTCCCCATTTTTGGTGCAAAGTTGAAGACTGATCCGGACCAGGCTGATAATGCATACCTAGACTTGAAAGTTGGAATATTTGCCGCTGGCAATGAGACTCCCATTATACCATATAGCCAAAGCTACGCAAAAGTATACAACTGACTGAGAAGAGGCATATAGAGCAGAAGTGGAGAGGATGGGGCGCAAGGAGCCAGCGGCTTGCGCGGTGAGAAAAGTCTTGTAAAACGTCGTTGCCTGTGTCTCTGTGCCTAACGAAGCAACGGCACGCACAGATCTGACAAGCTCTCTAGCATATTCCATTCAATAACTACTGGAAGCACAATCCCTCCAACAATGGTAGCCACAACTGTCATAATGCCGCTGACGGCTAGACCAGCTATGCCTGTAAGATCGTCAAAACGTTTGGACGAAACACCCGCGAGCGCGCTTGGTGAGCTTTCCATCCTGTCAAAAATGCCACGTCCTGCTGCATGATACGCTTACAACATGTTTCTCGAACACTTTGCCATAGATTCTATGTCGCTATGGACAGGGTCACGCAAATAATCATCCAGAAGGTCAGCCTGGCATGAAGCGAGAAGCACAAAAAGACTATAATAGATATTGGCGCGATGTCGAAGCTCTCCGTATCGATCTCAAGGCATTTCAAGGATGAATCTCAACTCTGCAGTTAATATGGATCATCTAGTAAAAGCATCAGTATCTTCCGTAGAGGCATGAACATGATTATACATGATTAAACGCAGGTAACAGTAAGCCACCGAACAAGGCACATGCATTCCCAATAAGCAGTATTTTCCAATCTCGTTGGCTCGACGCAAGCATGAACAAGATCAATCTTGTGTTGCTTGCTTTACTCGACCTGTCAGGATCCATCTTTGACTCAAGAAGCATTAGCGATAAGCTTTTAATGTTTTCGTCGTGTGACACTTGACGAGTTTGCACCTTTGTCGAATCGGTGGCGAGTAATGATGGAGACATATCGGGACTTTGTCCTTTGATATGCTAGTGTGCAATCAACTTCGGCATATAATCCATCGTGTGACATAAGCTCGGTACGCGTTCCTGGTTGACAACACTTCACTCGGCCATGACCACGATATTGTCGGCGTTAGTGATCGGCCACAATCTGTGTGCGATGACGATAGTCGTGCATTGCTTCGTTGCAGCATTTATAGCGGCCTGAGCGGCCTTTTCAGAGAACGAATCCAGCGCACAGGTGGCCTCATCGAAACCGAGTATCTCGGGATCCCGAGCTAGGTACGAGCAATTACCAGCTGCTGTGGTTGGCCGCTGGAGAATTGTAAACCTGGTACCCTTCCGGAAAACTCTCAATGAACTCGTGCGCCTTAGCCGTTCGAGCGGTTTCCACGGCTTCGTGTTGCAGCAGAACTACTGTGGTTGAGCAGCCGTTGCAAAAGTTCTCCACGATCGTCGCGTCAAAAAGAATGAGGCTTGGTCTACCAAACAAATCTGTTGACGTAGCAGTGTTCGAACGTCTCGACGATCGAGCATGCGGCCGAGGTATCCAGAAGGGCTGTGGAGATGGCGATGCCCAGAGTCAACGCCAGGACAGAGGGCCATGTGTATCAGGGCAAAAACACCGATGCCGACGGCGAGCACCGTTGTCACTGCCACCTAACAATACGTCTCTCTGCATCGTGTAGATGGATCCTGCCCAGAAGGCTACTGCGTAAATGAGGCATGGTATAGCGTTAATGGATGAGATCAGCTTGGACGAGATATTCCTGCCTTTGCTCTCCTCCAACGCAGCTTGTGCCAGTGCGGCAGAGTATTGACGGCATATGAGTGGTTGCAAGCCGTAAGTCAAGACCTGCCGGATGGCATCAAAGGCTTCTTCAACCATGCCACCGGCGCGGCTGAACGGCATGCGAGCGCGTTTTGATGTCGAACAATCTGCGCGCCGCCTACGCATGCCATGAGAAGCATGAAGATAAAGATGGGTGTGAGGATCAAAGCCTTTTTCCAGTACATGACGAACATGACGACAAAGGCAGCTCAGAAGGTAGCGATGGAACTCGGCAGGATGGCGATCTTGCTGGTAATGGCCTCTTTCAGGATCTCCATATGGACGTGATGCGATTGGAGACCTCGCCAGGATCGGGAACGTCAAAGAAGGCCATGTTTTGATGCAGGATAGCGGAAAGGTAGGTGGTCTGCAGGGCTCGGGTGATGCCTTCACCACTCCAAGAGAGACCGACAGTGGCCAGAAAGCTGAGGACGAAAAGCGCAACGGCGAGGTAGACATACCGGTAGTAGACTGCGAAGATAGCGACTTTGCTCCGCAGCTCGGCTTCGCTCGCAGAGCCCGCGGTAAAACCCTCGAGACAGCCACGAGCAGGCCATTGGTGACCTTTGGACAGCACATCAAGGTCAGCACGCGGACGAGGACGGGTACTGCAGTCAGGGTCCAAAGGTTGCGCAACGTACGGGCACCGGCGGATTCAACACGCTTGCACCCACGCCAATGGGATCGCCTGGAAAGCGACTAGCCGCATGCTAACCGTCTGCTCGCTTACGTGGTGCATTAGTCCGTGCCATGACATGACATTCCGTCGGCCCGGGCCAGTAGCGTCAATACGACATATCGGGTCGCTGGCGACGATGATGTCGTCTCGAACCCTAGATAATTGCAAGAGAAGACGAAGCTGCTGTGTTTACGACAGAAATAAAGGAGGAGGAGAGTGTTGCTTCTCGGTTTAGCTATGTTGTAAGTAGAAGACCCAGAAGATGCAAGACTAACATGTGACCTGCACCCGCAGGCATTAGTCTCCTTAGCGTGCACGGTACTCCAATCGTGATTTCTTTGTTATGCCCACCCAAAAATAGCGGCCGATAATAACTTTACGCTGCTTGTGGCCCAGTCACAGTGCCACTGTGGCAAGAGGCGGGGTGGGCATAACAAGGAAAACATGATCGGAGTATATCGCGTGGCGATGTACCCCGTTACCTTTCCTTGTGTGGGTAGGCATGCTGTGCCTGCACGTATCCTATCTGCTCGCAAGTGTGCCTGTTGCGCTTCGCTTTGGAATGATGTACAACTGCAACTCCGTTCCATCCCATGTCACATGCTCCGCTCAATCCCAGAGTATAAGACGTAAGCAAGCTTGAATCCTAAGCCCAAATAGGGAGGTTGCAATTGTGCTTTACTTCTGTCCAACAGCAAGGTTGTAGAGAAAAGGATTGCTAGCCAGGTCGTCAGGTCACTGACTCAGTGCCCGAACATGCAGGACGTCGTTGCGTTCATTCCACGCGCATGGAACAATCGGCTACCGGGATTACATCAAAGCCGTTGCGAAGGAGATGGCTTCGTATCTTTTCAAGGCCAGAAGCGACGATCCTCAAGGCAAACAACAAGGGGGCAATTCAACGCAACAGAGAGTTTGCGGTGTTTATGGACGCTACCGTGGATGAAATTGCGTTTGGCCAGTCAACCACTTTGCTCCTGCGAACCCTGGGCCACGCGCTCTGGCCCAAAATGAACGGAGACAGCGAAATGATCGGTTCACTTTTGGACCACGAAACAAATGTGACTTCATGGCTTGCTTTCGCGAGCAGTCTCGGCATTGCCACCGGGAGACGATCCTTGCCTCTCACCAGATACCGGTACCCTACGCCCCTTGCTCACATACAAGACCCGCATTGCCGCAGAGCAATCACGTTTCCAACGTCGTGAGCGAGGTGCTTGACCTAGTTCACACAATTCCTGAAGCCGTGCTGGTGGTCGATGGTGTTTCCTTCGCCCCCATCGTCCCATCAACGTCAAAGCGCTGGACGTCGACTTCTACTACTTCAACTCATACAAGGTGCATGGCCCTCACATTGCCTAGATGTACGGACGGCGCGACGTCCAGAACCGCCTGATTACTCACATCAGTCCTTTCTTCCTTGCCGAGTGGCCCGGCCTCGATTAGCGACTGCGCGTCGGCATGGACACTTTCGAGCTCGAAATGGGACTTGTTCCCATCACTCGTCACATTACTTACGTTGGTTGCGAAAGGGTAGTTGCACAAGAGATTGTACTGTTGGATGTCTTCTTATCACGCTGTCGCCAGCGCCTTGACATGTATAGCATCTTTCGGGGAGAAAACTTGGAATTCCGACCGACGAGTATTACCAGTGATATTTCAGATATAGGACAGTTCTTCTCGAGGACCCATGATGGCAATTCATCGAAAGAGTCGGTCTCGAATCGACGCGGGTCACTGCTTCGCTCCCCGTCCTACCCATGACGTATTGAAGCTTGATACTGGGGGACTAGTACGAGCCAGTTTTGTGCACTACGATACTGTACAAGAGGTAAAGGACTTTTGTGAGGTATTGCAGGAGGCCGTGGCTTCGATTACTTGAAACGACATGATACTTTAGCCCTTACTTACATGTATGTTTCTCTCGCAACGCTTTGTTTCTGTACCTCTAAGCAGATACCGTCCTAACGTTCATCTTGTTGGATTTAGGTGAGATTGAAGTGTTCATCCTGCTCCCTGATTTCGGTACCTTGAGGTCTATGCTCAATCAATGCCATAATGAATTAATCACATTGGGAAAGCTTCCCATGCATCGAGCCGGTGGTAAACCTGGTGGAAGACCTGGTATCGTGTTGGAGATGTTCCACAGCTCGGGTCTTTCATAGACAGCGCAAGCCCGTAACCACTTTACGATCACGGTAGTCATTGGTTTATTGTATTCAATACAGAGACTTGTCCATTGGGAAAACGTGAGGCAGAAGCACAACCAAGCCAGCACCCGTGTGGGTGCCGGCTATATCTCCATCCACCCCACAATTTTCCTACATCTATGTAGCCTTCTTCCTTGTCAACTTTCAGGCCGATACGCTAATGTTCTACTTATTTATGCAGTCCAGTGAACCTATCTCTGGGTGCTGCGTACACCAATCCGTGCAACAGCGTCACTCTTGTCGGCACTCGCACCATTCGTTACAGTCCTGCTGTGGGTAAACACAACCTGAGTCTTTGAGCCTCAATACCGCCTCTTCAAACATACGTAAGAAAGTGACCTTTGAACTCTTCTTCGGAAATGATCGGGCTGCTTTATACCAAGTTTTTGGAACTCCCCAAATGAGATTAGGGGCTGGTAAGCAAGAGCTTCGCTAACTTTTGCCTGATTCTTGCATATCTAGTGGACAGATTTCAATATCTGGACGATGTTGAGCTCGCCTTGAAGGATTGCTTCCTCCATTAAGAGATTTACAGGTGAATGCACCGTATGTACAATCCTCAGGCCTGGAGGCAGTACTACGACATTATCCGGCTTGAGGAGGAGTAGTCTTTTCTTCCCATTCGTATTTCAACGACACCCAAACACCGCAAATGTGTCCCATTGGGATTTCATATCCTCCTGCGAAATAATCATCTAGAACTTCGCGCCGGTGACGCAGTTGTTGATAGGTGTAAGCGCCGGCTGAAATTCATCGAGCTTTCTAACATCAATGACAGCATTACTTGACGCGTCTTAGAGCAGAGAAGCTACGCCGTCAATAGTATGCATCTCGGAATCCATGAACCTCTCTATCACAATCGGCTTGTGAAAGATCTGACCCTTTTCAGCGACCAAATGAATTCGTTAGAGGCATAGTAGCGCACTACAGCTTCACCACCTGAGAGTGGACTACCACGAGGCAGTGCATTATTCGAGCGTGTCTAAATCGAGGCTTATTTCGTGTCGGGATGAAACCATTGCGCATGAGACTTTTGTTGCTGCGAAGCGCCTCCGTGACGAGCCTTATTGACAAGCTTTGTCGCATAGTTCTTGAGCAGGTCTTTATGTCATATTTGGATAACTCTTTCCGTGGTTGGACGGGCATGGGCAAACAGGGAAGGCGACACGATCGTGGAGTCCAAACGCTCCGACTGCTCTCTTCGCTAATCATCCATGCTGATGTCTTTGGACGAGTGAAACTCCGATGCCTGGGTCAAATTGAATCTTGCTTCATGGTTCTGGAGAGACGGTGCTACCGGTCCGTGATGGCGTGTAGTAGAGATTTGACTCGTGACGCCGGCCAAGCAGCATATTCAGAATCATCGGAGTCCAATACCTGCAGGGGCGAGCGATCGTGATCATAACGATGCCAGCCATTGTGAAGACTGGTGCGTTCGCTCGGTCTCGAGAGATTCTCACCCAGAGTGCGGTTGCTGTCCAGAAATACCATCATGGATGGATCAAATTGAAGATGTATTTTTTGGGGGAATACCTGACTGCGGGCGATAAGAGCGCCTTAGCAATCCTGCTGCTAGGGATATAAACGAAAATAGTTTGGAATGAGAGAACCAGCTTGGGTACATACATCTACACTATTGCAAACAGCTTCTTTTTGCTGGACAACGTTGAAGAAATTCGTTTTGTTGTGTTTACTGAAGTTAAATTGAGTTTTGACCCTAGTGGTGATCTGCCACGTAGCTGTTAACGCATGAAACCCTTCAAAGCCTTTAAGAAAATCAATCTGGAGATTGAATTGCTGCAAAATCTGCCTAAGAGGTTAGCGATCAAGAGTTCACTCGGTATCTAAGGTTTTCGCCGGCATGTGGACCGCGCAGCGCTATCCCGCCTTTAGGATGACACTGTACCTGGACAACCAGCCGTATGCAGAGCAAACTCAAACCATTCTCTACGTCCGGCTTTGTCGACATACCCAAGGAAGAGAGTAGCCAGATATTCTTTCTAACGTTATTACCTCCAGTACAGCCACGGCGCTCGTGCCGATCAAAGTCTGTTACAAAGAAAAGCACTGGGCACATATTTGGGTTTTATAGTGGAGGCGCAGAACGAGGACTATGCGCATTAACATTAACATCTGCACTTGCTGGTATTAAGAGAACATCACTAGATGTATTTGTGTAAGGGCTAGTAAAGAACGAGTTCTAACCCAAAACATCCTATAGCTTTACAAGAAACTTTCTATCTTGAGGTGAGTGCCATCTAGTCCAGAAAGTGACAACGGCAGGTAGTTTCGACGTTGCAGCCGGTTAGCACGTCGATGTATGGATTCCTCGCTACGATGCAGACGGATTCCATGAGATAAGAATATCCACAGGGTTGATTTTTGGACCAGTTAGCCCCGCACGAGGGCTAGAACTACACACTCGCTCTGACTCCTCAGCATTAAACTTGTTCTCATGCAGTTCCTAGACGAGGAGGCACGGCTTCACTGCACGACTTTGGGGTTCAAAATATATAGTTAACATACTCAAAAGCAGTGTGCGACATTATATTTCTAGGATGAATGTCGTTAGAGGAGATCTTACAAGCAGCAGCCCCAAATCAAGGCGCTCGGAATGACTTCGCATAAACGTCTTGCACTGCTAACCATACGCACATGAGTCCGTACCTGAAAAACAGGATTATCTTGATGATTTTTTATAGGTTCTGGAGGACGTGCATGCTCAACCTCGCGGTCTTTCAATTGCAAGTTATGCCTTCTTGACCCAGTTAATCACTAGTGTATATTGCACCTTCTTTTGCCTTTGAGTGTACTGTCTAGGAAGAAAGCAATAGAAATTAGTTATACAAAGTCTCAATCGTACCCACAGAAACGGAAGTATGTTGACGGTTGCTTGGTATGTTCTGGCTGCACTATAAGAGTGCTGTCAAAGGTGTTAGCACGTTATGGATGTGACATATCCACAGACTTTTGCAGCCTAACGAAAGCGATATCTTTTGGCCCCCGCCATGTAGGAGCTTCTAAAGCAAACAGGATCGCTTGTTGCACTGCATAGTGTACTCGGAATGTTGCCTAACAACCTCTAAGGCCCATCGTGTTTGGATATTAGGCGCTTTCGCACTGAACAATCTCTATCTCCCAAAAGGAAATGTAAAAGGTAAGTAATTCTATTGCCATAACGTGGCTTTCGAAGCTTAACATCATGAATTACTGCTACTTCTAGTTTCAATTGGTTCAGTGACTTCTGCTAACAGTTTGTATACATGTCGTTTTACCCCTTGTATGCCTACCCTGGTTAGGTATCCTGTGACTGCCTCGACTATAACCCACGTCTCCTCATTTGCTGGTCCAACTTGATGAAATCATCTAAGGCTTGGCTATACTTGATCGGTTCCGTCGTCGGCAGATAACCCAGTTCGGTGAAGCTTGCCTTGTCAAGCTGGATAGCGAATTGGTTTCGAACATTCTCTGCCAGAGAGGAATTAGCGATCCACGCGGCGATGTCGTTCTGTTCATCCCCGTCTCCTTTCGTAAGGGTATCGTCATCAGTGCTTTTCTTCGCATCGACCGAGTTCAGGCGGTTTGACAACTCAATCCAGGCTTCGTCATCCACCCATTCTGGGGGATCTCCGCGGCCTTGCAATTCATGTAGGGCGAGTATGAGAGCAACAATAAAACCCTCAGAGACCTCAGTATCAACACAATGGCGCAGGAGTTGGTGCTTGCGATGTTTCTTGAAGGTGATAGGTTCTTTTCCCTTGTCGAGTATTCGAAACAGCCACAATGCTTTGTCGTTTGCGAGATTCATCAAAATATCGGAACGTGACTGTACGAGGTTCCTGTATTCCACAGTAACATCCTTGAGAATGATCTCTAGCTCTCGCCTTTTGCGATCAGTACCAGACTGCACGCCTCGCAACTCCTCATACTTCTTCTCCAGGTCATCTCTTTCTTCTGTCAAGATCCTGTTTTGCCCCTGCACGTCGTGGAGTTGAATCTGAATATTGGTTAGGCTGTTCTTTTCGGCTTCCAGGTTTTCGATCATTCTTACTGCGCTGGCAACTTCCTCGTTCTTCCACACCAAGCTCGCGTCCAGCGTACGATTTGTCCCAAGGTATCTGTCGACGTCCTCTTCCAGCCTCTCTACTTTTGATCGTTGCTCCTGCAGATGAGCAGCAATTTTCTTCGAGAGTGTCTCTTCGTCGGCAAGGGCATCCCTCAATCTCTGTTCCTCCTCAGATATCGCCTGACGGGAATCGTTGTAAAGTTTCATCCACCCTTGGGCGTCCTTCTTCTCTCTTGCAACATCTTCCTTTAGTTGAGCGTTTTCTTTTCGAAGTTTGTCCAATTCCATGTGCATGGGAGTGAGCAACGTCGAAGAATCGGCCGGTCCACGGCCACTAGAGTTGCTTTCAAGACCCATGATAACAACTGCGGTAGGAATGGATGAGCAAAAGCAAAACAAGATTGATATCTATTGTCTGCTGATGGCTACCAAAGAGATAGTGCGCAGACGGTGCAGGATGTTACAGTTTCTTTGTGAAACGACATGCATCAGACAAGAGGTAGGCAAATCAATGTCACTAAAGTTCACTTTAAGCGGTGAGACGAGATCATTGTGTTGTCTTGCGCTGTGGCCATTCTAAATAAAGAAACTGCCAGGATAGCTGCATGAAACCGCTTTAGTTCATAACAAAGAAAACGAAGCTTTGATCATGACAACCTATTCTCAACTCTAGACTTAACTAATCTTCGATCTCAAGAAATCTACGGCTACCATGGCGCGACTACGACGCGCAATCAGCACCTTTGCGACTCAGCTAGCGATTCAGTCCTCCCAGCATCGTATACGTAATGCTGCACTGTGCACGTTTCTTCTGTGCGTCACTTGCATCCTCACTTGTAAGCTCTACTTCAAGAAATCTCACCAAGTCCCTCATTCTGATTGATGTGTGCCCAGTCCTCGCATCAAACATTGCAAACTATGTCGACTCGACACCGGCGCCACTCACGACCTTGTTTGCTGCAACATTCAGCCCAAATTGCTTCCCAACTTTCCTCCATCACCCAGATCCATATCTCGTCCTGGGAATCCCCTCACCGCCGATCTTCGAACACGGCGGAATCCTTAACACGGCGGATATTGGCTTCCACGTATACGAAGAGGCAAACATCATAGAGCGCGCATACAAGAAAACCTTCAAGTGTTGGCATGTAGACAGGCTCATTAGGCACAAAGGGCTATCAATGGTAGATATGCGCAAGATTAGCGGATCAGAGGGCATTTTGCTAGATGCGCGGAACCGAGCGCTTGTCGTGGCGGAGAAAGGCGAGGGTCACTACCCAGCGTGGATATATCCTCCTCGTAAAGGTCCCATTCTGGAGACGAGAAGATACCCAAGGGAAAGTGTTCAGTGGACAACAAGCAGCATTACCATCAAGAGATCAGACTTTACATTCCTGCGGGAAGTAGCAAAAGGCGATGCAACCTCGAATTCCTACGTGGACGACCAGAAGCCCACGTTTAGTTTCAAACAACCAAAAGATTGTCCACCTTGCACGCCTGACCATCTCATTCGAACATTCATCGAAGGTGCTTTTACTCCTGCATGGCATCTACCGGCACAGCCAGCGTATTGGCGACACATTCCTTCAACATGTGCACGATGCGACTGGTCGACGATTCAGGAAAGCTACACCTTTTTCTTCGGACCGTGGTCCTTCAATTGGCAGGCCATGACGTTGAATTTCACAAACTTGGCAGCAGCGTCAGAAGAAGGCCGTCTACCACCACCTGGCCTTGCGCACGAATTTTGGTGGACCAGGGACATAGATCCGCCCTATCTCAACAAGGACGATGATACGCCAACGCAGTGCCGCATCTTTCTGCAGCTTTTACGCAAGTATATGCTCTTCACTTTACGTACTGTTCAGCACACCATCTTCGACACAGCCGAAGAAAGGGGCGTTGACATCAATCTCACGCATGTAAGGAGTAGGAATAATATTAGTAACACCGTTGAGTGGAGATTATGGCAGCAAGGCAGGACGGTAGGTAGTAAATGGCTTCCCAAAGATGCAGGACGAGAGTGGCCACAGGTTATCCACCTGTTTGCCGAGCAACTAGCCAAGTACGGACGCAACACAACAGAATGGAAGCCATACAACTTTTGGGACAACTATGAAAGATATTTGGCCAGAGATAGTGCAAGGGAGGAGTGGAAGAAGGAGAGAAAGGAGAAGGCCACTAGGAAGAGGACGGACTAAGCCTTAGTCGACAGTTGGTCTTACTATTGTATAGTAAGAGAGCACTTTGGGTTTCTGGTTGCAATGAAAGAGCATTCCGATCAGGCGATCTGCAAGTATTGAGTACATGCTACTTTAGGGTGGATGGTTAGGCGTACTTTGCTGAAAGTCCGAGCAACGCCAATCTACTCTGGTTCATAGCTTGATGTAATGTCATAAAATAGAGACAAGCTAGGTAATACAGGTAATAACTCGAGTTAAAAGTGAGCTTGTAATCGCGAAGGAGCCAGGTAAAGAAGCTCGCTCTCCAGAGCTGACTTTACAATTTAATAAGACATATGCGTATCCCAAGCTTCACTTCCCTCTTCCTCCCCATCGTCATCTCCACCTGATAGCGACCGCTCTTCGTGCACACTGGATGTACGTACGACTATTGGAGGTGGCGAGAAGGCTCTCAATGTTGCCTTTCCCTTCCCCTTCCCATCGTCCGTGCCAAATACCGCGTTTACGTCCACGCCACCACCGGCCGTCTTCGCTTGCATGCTTCGAGATCCGCTCCGCAGCTCTTGAACGCCTTTTTCGAATTCCTCGCCATTGATGTAGCCGGCCTTGACAGACTCCATCTTATGCTCTAACTGGGCGACTTTCTCCATGACACAAAGGAGGTCATCATTTTGTTTCGCAAAGCGGTGCCTACGACTGCTTTCATCCTTCAATGCCTCGCTTAAACGGTGTATCTTCGTATCCTGATGTGCGAATCGTGTCTCTAGTGGAATACCATTAGTCGACTCGGCTTGTATCTGCGGATCTGGGATGCAGAGCGTAGAGATGTTGAGCTTGCGTCTTAAAGACTCATCGGTACTCATCATGTCCACCATGTTGCCAACCAACTCCTGTGACCTCTTGCGCTTGGCTGTCTCATCTTCAAGCGCTTTCCGGAGGCGAGCGATGTCATGCATGAGAAATTCTATGCGGGCTTGTGCCACATTAGGAACTTTTGAATCTGACACAGTATCATCGTTTCTAGGTGGTGGCATCGGTGGTGTTGGCAGGGCATAGAGACTGTCATTGTCATTGTCATTGTCATTGTCATTGTCATTGTCGTCTCGGTTGTAGTCGGTGGTAGTTGTTTGGCTATGGCGATTGTTGAAAGCAAGGTTTTTGGCTTGGTGGTCGTTGTACTGCACTCGGATGCTGGATTGCTGGGCTTGGTGGTCGGAAAGGGCTGTGTGTAGGCCAGTGATGGCACCGTCCTTCTCTGCTATTGGCCGCTTGTGTGCGCCTTTGGTGGCAATGGCGTTCTCGTTGTGCTTCCGTGCCAGTGTTGTGAGCTGCTTTTCGAGGTCCCCACGCGAAGCGTCACCTTTTTCCAGTTCCCCCTCCAGCACCGTTACTTGTTCGTGGAGCATGGCCTCTGTAGCGTTCTGATCGCTAGATGCACGAGTCAATGGGATCTCTGACATTGTGGGATGCAAGACTGGCTTGAGCATGTCAACAATCGCCCTCAGTTCCTTCATCTCCATTCTCATCTCGAACCAGTTCTCGATATTGAGCTTCTCCATGCTCTGAACAATCTCCTTCACATTGGATTGTTGCAGACTGAGTCCCTCCATGCTTTCCAGGACGTCGTTAAGCTTCTTGTCATGGCTTTCAGAGTTTAGTAAGACCTTCGCGACACTATCCTTCAACATCTTCACCTCGCCAATGACCTGGGCTACGAGCTTGCCATTCTCTTCGCTGCCAGATCCATACGTCTTATGCAATTCGGCAATCTTGGTATCGAGTGCCTGATAGCGTTGCTCAACCGCCAAGATATACTCGGAGCGTAGCTGATGGGTGTTCCGGGCAATCTCGCCTTCGACCTTGAGCACAGATTGTCCTAGCCTATCGATCTCCACATTGAATCGAGACATGCTGGGGTTGGCGTCGAGGGCGGGTGCGTTGCGCCACTCGGAGGCTGGGTTATTGATGATGATGTCACGAAATCCGCTGGAATTCACAGCTCCAGGTGTTTCGGTCAAGGTCGACTGGGCTTCCATCACCTTCTCTCTTCCTTCTTCGTTGGGAGTATGCTCGAGCCGTTTCACAATATCGTCTTGACCCTCAGCTATGACTTGGTTACCCTCGACCGCCTTGTCGAGTTTGCTGACCAGTACTTCATGACGTTGTGCTTGCGTCTGATGAGTAGTAGCCTGGTCTTTCGAGAATTTCTCCAAAGCGCGGTTCCCATCGGCGGCAATGTTGCTCAGCTGCATGCGTTGAGCAGCGAGTTCCGAGATGATGCCTTCTTGCATATTGGTAAGACCATACTCGAGCCGGTTCTGCCACTGGTCCTGTTTGGCCAGGTCCTCGCGTCTGGCTCCTTGAATTTGAGCACCTATTTCGCGAACGAGCTGCTGGCAGAATACTTCCAGACCTTGATGGGTTAGCATATTCTGCTGATATATCTGCTCAAGGCCCCCTTCAATGCGATGCTGCCGAGTTGCTTGTTGGACGCCAAAGGCTCTTATGATTTCAGCGAGTCTCTGTGTACAAGCGTCCGTATCCTGGAAGTTGGTGGTTAAGGCGTTGGCCATTGCTTGTAAGGCTCTTTGGACGTCATCTCGAACTAAGCGAGTAGCGGACTGCCCGTCAAGTTGGGGAAGTGCTTGGACTCTACCAACCGATTGGTGCAATACATCTGTAGAAGTCATGAGCACCTGAATCTTGTCCTGAACTGGCTGGATCATGCGCTGTACACTCTCTCGGAGTCCAGTGAGAGCACTCTCGTCAAAAGGCTGTATGCTGGCAGACATGCCACGTATTACACCTTGCAACCCAAGAACGACAGTGGGATCATCCAAGGCCCTAACAAGTTGCGGGACGACATGCCTGTCCAACTCGCCAATGACCTGCTTGACGATGGCTTTCATGGACAAAGTTTCCTTGACATCTCCATACCCCGTTTCCCCAGAGCGTGCATCGTCAGGTTCGGTGTTTGGACCAGTTGCTTTGGGAACCTGGATGGGAAACTTGTCCGACGTGCTTCGAGTAATGCTAGAAACAGTTCCATCAATACGTTTCCTATGGTCTTTACGGGCTTCGTTGGTGGGTGGTTCACCCGTCTCGCCATCGCCTGCATTGGAATTTCGTGGGAGAAACTGCTCACCAGTCCTCATAGATCCAACATGACTGTTTGACAGATAGCCCGGACTTTGTTGAATGGCAGTGGCGGTCGGGCTCGATACGGGCGCGTGGCTACTTCTAGACTTGTCGTCGAGAATTCGAGCATCTTCCAAGCTCGTCTTCGATGTACGGTGATTTGATGCAGCAGAAGCGGAAGCATATTTGACTCTCATGTTGCTGGGCTCCACTCTCTTTTCGGATCCTAAATCGACGTATATATCTCCCTTCTTGACAATTGGCTGAGCATACCTAGGCGAACTTGGATTAGACGTAGTGAAAGTACTACGTTCGTTCTTGGAAGCGCTTCCGATATGGTCTGAAGTTTCTCCACGTTGAGGTGGCTTTTCGACGGCGACTTCAGTCTCGACTGGCACAAGGCTAGTTTGGCGTGAGGATGGAAATGCTCCAGCCATGGAATTGCGTTTAGGGCGTGTAGCTACACCTTGTCGTACCACCGCACCATGTTTGTCTTCTTGGAATGGTTCCGGGCGGAAAGATCCTTGGTCGAGTGCTTCGTCTTCATGAGACGCAGTCTGGATATCACTGCGGACTTGCGACGGACGTCCACTGGATCGTTCGAGACCTTTGTGCGAAGGAGTGGCACTCTTACGAATTCGAAAGTCCTGTGAGTTGCCTGAGACTCGTATCTGGCCAAGAACCTCTTCTTCATGTATGCTTGGTGTTGTCGTTCCAGATATTGCATTTTCTTGGTGTCCGCTGCCTTGCAAGATCGCATCCTCGTCATGACTATCGTGATGTTCTTCCATATGCTCAGCGTCCTCTTCAAGTGTGGCCAAAGGGGTCTTGACAGCAGGGCCAGGCTCATACTCGTGCTCCTGGGACGATGTGCTACGTCGATGTCTGGGACTGTTGGCTGAAATCGGACGTCCTATCGGCGTGGCATGGCGAGACGATTTGCGGCTAGTGCTCCTCCGTCTCGACGACCCCGGTGCAATATAGGACACTGGCACTGGGGCAGGGATGGTCTTGATTATATCGAGGTACCCGTAGTTGGGAGCCGGTGCTGTTGGATGTGATCGAGACCGTCGAGGCGGCTTGGAAACGCGAGACGCAGTCGGTCGACGCTCTTGCCCTCCTGGTGTCTCAACAGACGGCATAGCCCTATCCGGCCCATATTCGCCAAGTGTGCCCTCACCAGTTCCATCGATTTGGTGCACCACGACTCTGTGACGGTTGCGCTCGTCTTGTCCAACTGGGTCGTTGTCTATCTCGGTGACCTCGTGCTCAGGCTGTTGTTGCTGACTGCGGTGGGGAGTAACAAACAGCTCCACCTGCTCCTGGGTCTCGCGCTCTACGCTAGATCCTGTAGTCAGGTCATGGCTCGTTGCACGCCGCACTCGTTTCTTCTCTTGCGTCGATGATCGATGGCGTGATGGCGTCTGTCTGTGTCCTTCATCGTACCCTTGCTCCTCCTCCTCGTCATTCTCATCATGCAAGTCGCGCTCCTTCCGCTTTTGCGCGGAGAAAATCGTTTGCAGTTGCTGCCTACGCTCTCGACGATAAGCAGCATTGTCACGCGCAACAGGAGATGTATGCTCCATCGCGCTTTTGGTGTAGATGTTGGCGATTACGCGCTGCGGCAGGTTAAAGGCAGAAGCCGTCTTTACGAGATGGAAGTTCGGCGAGGTGTATGCGGCTACCCGTCTGTGCGACTGAAACATACGACAAGCTATCGTCGTCTCGCCATCACACACCCCATGCCAAGTCCTCACAGTGACCCAACCCTCTGCCTGAACCTGTACAGATCAACCCCTACAAGTTGCACGCAACTTGACTGTAGTGCGTCAAGTTGGACATGTTCCAGTCATCCAGGGACACCAGCGAGGCGCTGACCAACGAGACCGCGGAGGCGCTGTCGAACCACGCCAAGAATGCGGAAATCTTGCTAGATCTGCTGGGCAACGAGGATGTGAGTATCATACGAAAAGACACACCGAGGCCAACGGCTGACATGGACTGACTGGTCAAGGTGATGAATGGTATCATACACGAGATAGCCAACCGCTTCGGCGACCACACCACGAACAGACTGAACCTACCGCCAAACATCACCAACAACCTGGACAGGTTCGTCCCCTTCATGTCGATGGGCGCCTCGCAGCCACTACAACCGCTACCACGACAGCCGAAGCCCACTCTCCAATCGACATCCTCATCGTCGTCACCGCCGCCCCCGGGGCTGCCGAAGAAGGCTTCTGTTACAGGGACCAAAGAAAACAGGAACGAAGGAAACGTTCATGCGCGATCGTTGTGGAAGAGACTCGGGAAGCTGGAAAGACGAGACTTCAAGCTAGATGCTAGCGTAGAGGCTCTGCGCACACGTAGTTTGAAAGCCTTGTTGAGTCAGGACGGGGAGGAAGCGCTCGAACTCGACATGGAAGATGAAAACATGTGGTTGGGCTTGTACAGGTACATGGGAAAGCTCGGTAACCAGACCAAGACCAATGAAATCCGGCAGCTGATCATTCGATTGACCATGCGAACCGTGTTCAGATCGCTCAAGCCGCCCAGGAAAGGCGGGAAGCGGTCCAAAACTGCTCCACATCTCAGCGACGCAGATCTTGGTCGCTTCTGCGACGACTATTTTGGGTTTTTGGTTGATGACGAGACTGCCCAAGGCAAGGCTATTTTGAAGTGGATTCGCCATGAGTCGAGGCTTGCAAACGCATACGGTGTACTGGCAGATGAGCTTGGTTCTGTCGGTCGAGGAACGTTGGTATACATGGTCGCGAACGGGTGGATCACACACCATCAATTGGGCTACGGTCTGGCGTTGGACACAGTGGTGGGAAAGGCAGGCCTAGCGCATCTGGAATCACTGAAATTGTATGAGATGAAGAGTGTGCGGGACTGGGAGAAGAGGGTGGAGCGCTGGTGCGAAAAACTGTTACCGGCTTTGACTGGAAATGAGCAGCAGAGCTAGCCGGCGCTAGAGGTATTTAGGTCATCACTCGACATGGAAGAAGACTCCCAAAACAACGTATTGAAACATGTACTGCAAACTCATATTGAATGAATGATTGATTGATTTGCTTGTTACAACCTTTTGTTACATATGTTTAATGACCAAATGGAAACGCATTCAATAACAAGCCCCCCGCTAGTACCGCTTCCTTCGTACCCTCCGATCGTCAAAGGAACCGTCATCACCGTCATCGAGCCCATAGTCATGTTCGTCTCGACGGCGACGCCTCGCTATACCGCCATTTTCGTATGAACCATCCTGCTCCAGATGAGCTGCATCCTGACCTGCTTGAACCCAACCTGTCGGAGCTCGGTAGGGCCGTTGCAACGTCAATCCTGGTCCGATAGGCAGCTGGGGGACCGGAATGGGGCCTATGTGAGATAGGAGTTGTGTGCCACGAGCAGTTACACGGCTGAGTAACGACGGTTTGTTGACTGGTGCAGGTAAAGCGTTAACACGAGGTTGATAACGCACTATGGTGCCATGATCCACAGGTGATATTGGGTGTTGAGCAGGTGTTGGGCTATCGGACGGCGATGCCGTATCCTCTGCTCTGTCGTCTATGGACTCGCTGTCGCGGCGGGCATCCAAGGCGTTCTGCATAACCTCCTTGAATCGTGTCTTGAACGCAATGCGCCGGGCATGATTGTCAGCCAACCATTCTTTGTGCAACTTGGCTTGATATTGTGGGTGATCGGTCAAAGCTTCGACCTCTTGCACTGGGTGCCATTCGTTGTATATTTCGAGTAGGGGGAGGCATTTGTTGTTTGTTGGTGAGCTTTCGACGATATTGGGGAAGGTCCTGTAGAACAGAACAAGATTGATAGCGACAATGTGAAATTCTGGACTAAATTGAGGTGAATCTACTGTGATATCAGTTGGCGACTTAGAAAGTTGTGGAATACACTGACCCATATGGCTCACGTCAGTTCTGTGTAGCTCAAGCAAGGGGGAGATGATGCGATTGCTGGGTGTAACTGCGGATAAGCGTGATTGAAGTGACTACAGATGAGCGGAGCTGAGGTTGGTTGTAAAAACTTGTGAAGGCATGAAGTATGTTTAAGCCGCGATTCTTGTGACTTACTTGCAAGACTTGTGAATGGGAACATTGGCTTGAGACAAGTCGAAGATGAAAGAGGCGACGGGCAGCATCACCCGACACATGCCAGGAAATTCTTCGCAAACACAAACATATATGGAACCTTCCATGGTGGCCCATCGTGAAAACGTGCCGCATCTGGACGCTATCTACTCAACGCACTGTACGAGGCCTGCCCAGAACGAATGCAAGACAGTTATAGATCGAGTTGGATGTCGTTGCCAACTCTGGGATAAGGCTTGTCTTGCGCAGTAACTCGGGCACAACAGCCTCTGTACTCCAAGAAGGAGAGACACAGCAAACGTGCTATTGCTGATTGACGACTGCAATGCTACCGAAGTGGATGGTGATGATGAGCGACGTGGTGTTGACCATGGCGGGCCGTGTTCACAAGGGGTTAGCGTCGACACGCCAAGAATTACGTCACGCGTTGAACTGCTAGTTACGCGACGATCTACTACAACCCCATGAGATCCAACCGTATGATGCACCTGAACACCCTACTCAGTACTACAGACTTCTTCCTTGAAGAAGATAGAACGAGCATCTCGGACGTGGAGTGCCTCACAATGTCAACGGTCCTTTGTTTTGCGCGCAACCACCATTGCATACTATCGAAAGACATGAGATCACTCAATCTCTCTTTTGTTTAGAACCACAATTATCATGTTTCAATCCCACTTTAAGTCAGGAACTGTCTAAGTATGGCAAACGTCTCTAAACAACCTTGCCTTGCTGAGCAATGCCTGAGTCTAAGTTGTCTTGGACCGTCTATGTAGTCTGCTTATCACTTCTCAGCTTGCCGCCGTTACATAGACACTTTCTGGTAAGTAACCCACTTTCTCTCAACCCAACACTCATGCCTCCTGCGGAGTCTCTTCGACGTACAGAGCGGTGCACAGCCATTGTGAAAACTACTGGTATACAATGTAGGAAGCGCGGAGAATTCATACAGTATACTACTCCCGGCGGCACTCGGATAGAGCGCTGCGTCTTCCATGGTGTTGCCAAGACTGGCGATACATACGCGCCTCTGCTTCTAGAGTCCGGTCGCAGGGAGATGGGACACGTCACCAAAACCATCGCTGTTACTGTCGAGAACCCGCGTATATCGAACCCCATCGAATCCCGACCAATAGCTCGCAGTCTTACTGCCCGCTCGGACACCTCCCTGCCTAGGTTTGCACGATCCGACATTACCACGTTCGAGACTCAGCACCTCACACAATTGGACATCAAGGGCGAGGAAGCTATCCTTGGGAAACGGTTGACAAACGCCAGAAGGAGGCAAGCGGTATGTTTGGCCCTATCTCACGAGGGAGGCCTGGGAGCACAAACTGACTTGCATGCAGGAGGGTTGCATCGACGTAAAACAGGCTCTCTACGATGCAGCCTCTGGTGGTAGTGTGAACCAGCAGGTATGTCTCTTCTTGGGAATCGCCGAGCCTCTCTGCCTGTGCCTGCTATCTACGTTCATTGAGCCATTCGACTGATGTTTCCAGATAACTGCACTCCTTCACACCTCCATGTCTGGCGTTGAGCGACTCAACATGCTTGACGCATCCACGAACAAACTTGCCGACCACGTTTACAAGCAGACCCAAATCCTCACCAATCATGATCAACAGATACTCGCCCACACCGACGCTCTCATCAGGCATGACGAGCGCAACAAAAAGGTCCAACACACATTGGCAGACGTAGAACGCCGTCTCGCTAGGCTGGAGGTCAGGAGCAACGCCGAGTCAACGAGGCCGGTTAGGTCCGCGCCAACGCATGCACTGCCATCCTTCGGATCATCTTTCGGAATGAAGAAGGGCAAACACGACACTCTCGTCGAGGTAGACGATTCGGATACCGACGAGGATGATATGCATGAGTAGAACATGGGTTTCTGGTAATCTATCTGGGACACTGTTCCTTGCATAGAACTTGATCGAAAGAGAGAAATACTACACGCTTAACACAGTGCCGGCTTTTTGTACGTGTGACTAGTGCAATATTGAGTGTAATTTGTAGCAGTTGCAGGCTTTGTCGAATTCTCCCATGCCCTATCGTGTTTCAAACAGTAGTGTGGGCACTCGCTCCAAGCTAAATGTCAGAAATCAGGTCTGAGTCTGAACAAACCACGCCACAACAACAATACATTTACAGGAACTAAGAACAGAGCACATGATTAGAACGGACTGTTAAAGTCCTTGCATTTTTTAGACTTCTGTATGGTTGCGTTCTTATTGTTTCCCATTGCGTCGATTGCACCCCACCACCCCACTATTTCCGGCTTCCGGCAATCCTAAAGCTCACCCTATCCGGCGGTTTCGGGATCTGAGAACCGCCTGACTCATGGATTAGTTAGCGGACCCAGAATATCGGTCGCTCAAAGACATGACGACCTGGCCGTACTATCCGCCAACTCGAAGTCCTCTGTCAGTAAGGTTTCTTTTTAAACTTCTCCATGAGGATGTTTGCGTTGGTAGACCTGCATGCAGTATCGTCGCGGCGGTTCCGCTGCATTGTTACCGCAGCATCACGAATGAGGGGTGACATCACCACATGAACAAAAACCATCAAGCCAGCAATTTGTAGCTTGAGTACAGTATATTTCCAACGTCATTTTCAGACGAAGAACCCTTTCCAACATTGTCTAGTTCACATCAAAAGCCCGCAGTGCTCTGCCATGTTCCCAACGATCCTGGGCCCACTCGTATCGCCGACCCTCTCACATGCTGCTTCTCATCCTACGCATAGTTCGGGCGATCAGATCGCCACAATTCAACCATAAACCATACCGTTCTTATCATCTACGGCATGAGGTTCTCCAGCCTCCACGCAGGCCACCTGAACAATAGCCAGCAAACACCTACCGAAGTCACCATCAACAGCAACAAGAGTAGGATGTCATGCACAGCAAGGTGCACCAATACGCCTTTCGCCCTTCCATTCGCCTCTTCTTGGTATCTCTGGATGATTTGTTGAGTAGCCTTGATGTTGGCACCGAGCTCGGTAAACTGCTCATGAGAAAAGCCTTCGTGTTCGTAGTGTTTGTGGGTGATGTTGTAGGTGCGTACCGAATTCGCAGAGGTGGATGCGATGGTTTTCGAGGGGGTTCGAATCACTTGGATTTCGTAGTTGCGCGAATCTGTTACAGGACTGGGCCTGCGACTGAGTTCATCTTGCGGATGATCCTGAGGGTCTTGTGAGTGACATGTAGCTAATGCGATGGTTAAGGTTACTTACGAGATGATCATCCTCTTGAGGTTCGGCGCTGCCGCCGACATTCCCACCGGTATCGGTATCGGTGTCGCTTGCAAGAGATGCTTTACTCTGGAGTCGTTTCGATCGCCTTGCAGGTGTGTAAGATGCATCTGACCGCGGCATCTCAGGAAGTATGCAGAAAGAGTTTGGGTTGGAAGCGTGCTAGATCTCGAAAGAGCTCGAGTGTGTAATACTTGTTGAGGAAGGGGGTGCTGTGCTTCTTTTGTTTACCGCTTTCTTTGTTCCCATGTTGTGTGACACGGCTGCAGCTGTGTGAAACCACATTAGTGCTCGAGCCCCAGCTTCCGCACACTTGTATGTGCCCGGTGAACACGCCCAAACACCCTTCCACCCTTCACTCGCAAAAGGTCCATCTGGTCTGGCGGTGTAAAGCTAGAGTATCCGCACCTTTAAAGTAACCCATCTGCAAATCCTAGCTGTTTCGCCTTCCCTTTCACTTCGCCTTCCATTTTACCAACACAACGTCTTTCAAACTTTCGGACACCTACAATATATCTTGATTATTGTACCTACCCTTCCGCACAGGGTCACATTGAAGTCTGCGACATGATTCGTAACAGACGTCCCAATGCAATCGACACACGAGCTGGCAGTCGTGAACCCTCCCCGCTGCTCGAACCAGCCACTCCCGCACACACGTTTTTCGGCTATCAGGTGTCCAAAGGAGCCTTTGGGAGATATGTCAAGCTGGCTGTTTGCGCAATTGCACTCATCAGCATCAGCGTCGTAGTCACCCGCAGCGAATTGGGACAGGACATGACTGCGGATGTCTTCAACTACATGCTTCCATTCAACTATACTGGAGCCAAGGTGATGACTGATCTATGGGTTGTCGATACTGCACCCATCTCTCTGGACCTTACTGCTCTCGAGCAATCCCGCAACGATAGCCTGGTCGCAATCAGCAACATTACCAATCTTCTCCACGATCCACTGTGGTCTACCATCAACGACACCCTTGGCTCATCGGTACTGTATCAACACACTTTAGTTCTCAACGCCACGAAGGCCATCGAAGAGAAAGTTTCCAGCTTCGACACCCTACGCGTGGGCAAACTCACACGCGCCCGCAAAGACTACTGCTACGGCACACACAGTCTTATCGCCAAACAAAGCATTACCATCCGCCGTATATGGGTCAAGGGCGAGCAGAACAAGCGGTACAAAGAATCTGTTTGTAGTCTTTTCAATGAGCACTACCGTCTGCTATCGTCGATGAGACATATACATATGGACCTGTACAAGGATGCATGGACGACGTGGAATATGGCGCGACAGATGGTGGCACATATGGAGCATCTCTTCCACAGCAAGTTATACTGTGCGACGAATGTTCCAGTGGGAGTGTCGCCCGATATGACCAAATGTCCAGAGATCGACCAGGTCACGTTTTATGAACTCGCGTCCCACTATGTCAACGATGAAGTAGCATCAGCTATTGAAAACCTGCATGATCAGCTCAAGGAGCTCACCGAGTTACTTGAGGAATCTGTGGAATATCTCCACCAAGCAACCGCGTCGTACATTGCTCGATTCAAGCTTCTGCGTCTACACGAGGTGCGAAACCTACGGCGTTGGCAGTGCGAAGGTTGGGATGTAATCGAGCGGGAAGACCATGCTATCATTAACGAAATGAATGCCAATATTGGGAAGGAGGTTAGTGACATGCAGGCTGAGTACAGAAACGCTTCTTGGCTGGTTGGCAATGACCTGACAGAGGTGGAAAAGAAGCTGAGGGACGCAAACTTCGTGGTGGTGTTCTTGGAGAAGCTAATCAATGCTGCTCTTAGCGATGGATGCGAGTAATCGGCGAGCCTGCCGACAGAACAAAGGGCATGGAGTTTTCTATTCCCTACCTGTCTCTTATGTTTCTACCAAATTGCAAACTTTCTCTTACTTTCTGCTAGTATCTATAGTTGTTCTTCTTGTGATTCGAAAGATTCCTCGTTATTGCCGCAATAAGAGATTACCAGATGCTTTTTGTTGTTTACTATTTGGATTCGCTCAACTTATACATTACTCTCGCTATAGCAGTATGTTCAAAGAGGTGTTACAGCATATATACCCAAGCTGATATTTAAGTCTTACGATTTAGCCCTATTCAATCTAGTGCTGAGGCTTGACTTCAAGATGTTTGTGAGCCTGTATATCTTATACACAAGGGAATATAAAACAGTAAAGAGCGAGTTTATATGGTAAACATGATGCAGACAGCTGTATAGAATAGTGTACCCAAGTTAGGAGTTTGTTCTTTATTACCTTTATCAAACCTTTCTATCCTATTCTTTACTTGTGGTCTCGTCTTCCTGTCGTCTAGCATTCAACAATATTAATGAGCAGATAAAGGTTAATTTACAGCAGAGGGGAAGAATGTAAGAACTCCAGAGAGCTTCTAATAGGCCGTTATCATAGCAGAATAAAGAAAGCAAGAGAGTCTCAGGGAAGGGCACAGATGAACAGATTCTTGACTCAAATTGCTTTTGCACATACATACTCCACTATCAACTATGCTTCTCACGGCTAAAGACGCCTTCTAGGCTGTGCCGGCTTTGCCCTCAGCACGGGGACATTCGACGCCACCGCCGAGGTGCTGTAGTCCGACATGGAGGAGGTGCTTCTTCTCGAAGATGCAGCCGAGTCGATCCTCACGTTCAATGACTGTAGCCCTTCACCCGGAGTGAGTCTCTCGATCCTAGCCTCGTTGCCAACAATCTTCCCAGCATTGCAGCATGTCCTTTCTCCTTCCTTTACGTGCTGGGTATGCATAGTCGCCATGAACGCGATCAAGGGCATGTCTTGCGACATGCCCAAGTGTAGGGCATGTGTTATAGCCTTGGACGTCCACCTGCTATCACGGATAATGGGTAACTTTTCTCGGAGTACCCCTCTCTTCATTGCTGCACTGCGTTTCCGGATATCATGCAGAAGGTCGACGAGGTAATTGAGAGATTGGTTGATGTCTATGCCCTCCTTCTGAACTTCAATGTTGTTTGCAGCAACTTCCTCGGAGCCAGCAAGGTCGACCAGCTGAATGCATGGCTGTAATCCTTCGTGACCTGGGACGCAGATGTTCAGGTGGAGAGTACATACCATATGACTGCGAGAAGAGCTGTTATTGAGACCGCCGTGTTTGATCATATTTCGTGTCTCGCGTTTGCCGACAGCCATCTCGAATAACTTGAAGCACTCTGCTTCGGTCTTGACGGAAACAGGGTTAATAGACTCCTCATTGTTACGAACTCTGTTATCGCCAGTCTTGTTGAACATAACGTAAGGCCCTTTGCTAGTTTGCCGCTTTAAAACCACTTGCGGGTTTTTCTTCTGATTGTGACAGAGGTAGTGTATGTTGTTGAGATACACCTCTACGGCAGAAAAGTTAACGTCGAGCCGACCTCCAGTGGCTTCTAGCTCTTGCTTTTCCGCGAATACTCGAGCAATGGTCAGCGGAATCATTGAGTCTGGGCGCTCGCACATTGTGTATGTCTTCCCGCTCCCAGTCTGGCCATACGCAAGGAGAGTAGCGCTGGAGCCGCGGAAAACATTTTCAATGAGTGGCTTGATCTCTTCTAACCACAGCCAATCGTTGCTGACTGAAGGATCCATGACTCGGTCAAATGTGTACGTTGTGAAGCTGTCTTGTAGTTGCATGGTTCGCTTGTTCTCCTTGGCGATGTAGACCAGGTGTTTCGTAGTGTCGAACCTGATCTTGTCGCAGAAGGTACTGCACCTGGGCCGAAGCAGTATCTGAATGCCACCTCGTTTTTCGACAAATTTGTAGAATGCATCGCAGCGGCGTTCTCGGGCAGCGTCGAGGCAGCTCTGGAGATGGGAAAGGTGATTCTCCGCGAGATCTGCTGCTGCCGCCGCTATGATCTCAAGGCGTTGCTCGAGCTGGTGAAGCTTGTCTTTCAATGTCTCAATCGATGATGCGGACTCTTCGTCGATGGCGAGGTTGTGGCTGTTCTCGATACATTCCTGTAATCGATCGGTATCCGTTTGCAGCCTATCCATCTGGACTTTGGCGTCGTCGCTCTCGCACTGCACGGCTTCGCATCCATTGCATACGTCCTCAGTCTCGCTTTCAACAGATGTGTATTGTTCTGAGTCGAGCAAGCCATGCTTGATTGATAGATCGCGGCAGCGAACACGCTCGATATCGAGAAGGCGTTGGAGGCGCGTCTGTCCCCTTGCACGTTGGGACACCTTTGTCTTCTCTTCTTCGAAAAGCGCCCTGTATGTGCAAAAGGCGTCGTTGAGTGCTTTTGTGATCGCCACGGATGCAGTTTCGTTTCGGACAATCAGGCTGCTGTCCTCTTCATGGCTTAGCCTTGGACCCTCCAGGCATGCGTCCGACTCGATCAATTGCCGCCGTATGGGAGAGCACGACACTATCATATCGCTGTTCAGATTCTGGTAGTGCGACTCAACGTCCTTGATCTGCTGTTCCAACTCTTCTATCTGCTGCCGCTGCTCTTTGACTTGGTCAGCCTTGGCCAGCGCTTGTGTCCTCCAGAGGTCGGCTTCTCGCTGACCATCTTCTGCAAGCTGCTTGAGACCCTCCAATTCTGGACGCTCATTCTCCAGCTCATTCCTCAACCGCTCGTTGTCCCTTCGTTGGGTTTTGGCCGCTGTTCTCCAGCTCCTGGCCCTCTCTGCCCATTTCTTCACGGCGTGCTCGGTTCTCATGGCATAGGCTCGCCATTGTGTTGCACTCGCGATCCACTCGTCTCGCAAAGCTTGGCATTCTTCATGGTCGTGGGCTTTGGCGGATCGGCGGAACGGGTCGGGCGTGGCATCGGTGGCCATGGTGGTTTGGGTGAGGCATCAGGTGCGATAGTGGGCCATTCGTTAAATGTGATGCCATGAGAGGGGCCTATCTGAGACGTCAACGTGGTGTCGCACATTATTGAACACATGTTTGGATTACTTTGTCTACATTCCTGATGTAGCAGACGCGATGCAGTCGCGGTGAAACACGTTTTCACCAAACGTTCAGTGTCCCAGTGAGACTGACCTCGATTCCTACCATTCAACATGGTGTCTTCAAAGCAAGCCATGGGTCAGTCGTCGTTTCTATTGTAGCGCGCCTTCTGGCTGCTGGTACTATTCATGCGTCACACATCACCACGACGCCTCCGGACGCTGTGACATGTGAAAATGCGCAATCTGTGACCAGGACGCATACAAGGGCTTGGAAAGAGGGAAAAGTGCGCGGGGTGAGAGAGGAGTGCACGAGGTGGAAGCGCGTTCGTACCGACCGTTCGCGTCGCACATCACGATGACCCCTCCAGGCGCGAGCAATGAAAACACGTCAGAGATGAACATGGTGCTAAGAAAGCTTTTATAATATAACTAACGACCGAGATGACTACAGCAGGGAGACCGTAGAGAGATCAACTCTGCACCTTCGCCCGATCCAACAGCACGGTCCAGCCTTGGCGCCCTCTGACAAATCACATTTTTGACCAACCTCCACACCGAGTGGCAGTCACTCTGTTTTCTCCACCACAATCTCAGGCCGCCGATGGTTGCTGCTGAACAACCGCCGGTATGTTGCTCGCGTCTGGCAGGACATATATAGTCGCTGAAGTTGCTATCACCAGCACCACCGTCTCTGCCGTCACGTCGGCTGAGAACATGTACCCGACTATCTTCATGCTGCAAATGCCAACAACGACGAAGCCAGTTGCGTAGATGATATCCCACACACAAAAGTACATGTTTGGGAGTACTTGATCCATCCTGAATGTGTGTGAAAGCAGCTGAAAGTTGTCAGTGGTCGTAGTACGTAGGCGGGAAGGACTTGCCTTGGTGTTGGTTGAACAACACAAAGTCAAGGAGATTCTGGGTTGAGATGAATGCCGAGATTGTTACGTTCGTCGACCTAGCTAGGTTGGGTCAGCTCTGAGGGCCAGTGACACTGTTAAACGTGAATCTACTCACAGTATGGAAAAGTGTGTAGGATGAGTTCGCTCGATGTCTGTGGAACTAAAGGTAGCTCAAGTCGACCTTTATAGCCCTAGGCGTGTAGAGTGAGTATTCAAAGTTTGCAACCACGCTTTCCATGTCTTGTTTCTAACGCCTTCGTCTGTCTGTCCATTGTATTATCATTTCCACTCAGCGATGACTCTCCAAGGTAATACATAACAGACTACGACAGCTCACGATGAATCGCGAATCTTCGAGACACATCATAAGACACGCTTGTAAAATCGCAACGCGAGACTTTCTTCAAGGACACACTATGTCTCCTGGGTCCTAGGAACTTATTTGTCTTGTCAGGAGGAACGGTCCGTTGGCATACAGATGCTTAGGAACACTGCATTGAGCGCGCCAGCATATCCGACGAACTTGACTCAAGGTCTGGTGTTGTTGAACTCAAAACAAGACACAAAGACTGCCACCGGACAACTGATTGTATTCAATTTCTGCGATTGTCAGCGCTCGCCGGTCAAGCTTAGACTTCTACACTATGTCTCTTAGCTTGGTCATCTGTTGCCATGAAATGTTTGTCTGACTCTCCGTCTTGTCGTCCCATGTCAGAAAGATTTACCGGCACTCACCATGACGCCACTAAGAGGGGAGTCGTGGAACTTCGTCCTTCGAGCGGGAAAAGTACACCGCACTCCTTGGCAGATGGAGATGGAGCACACCCGGCCCTACAAGATCAGTACTCGAACCGAGCGAACTGTCTGCGTATCTTTGTTTATTCTTGAGAGCAATCATTGCTCGGATCTTCCACGAACTTCTTGACAACAACAAGCAAAAAAATGGTAATCAAGGTGAGCTGATTCCATCATGCTCTTACAGACGCAAGGATGAGAAGGCTGCCCAGCAAAACATTGGTTTTCTATGGGAACCGCTGAACATCACAGGATCGGATCTTTCTCACGGCGCCCACAGAGAGTACCAGACTGATTGAAGGCTGACCACCGGAAAGTGGGCAAAGTCCCAGAGATGGGCGGCTGCTGCGTTTATCTATATAATGTGAACAGTGGATCCCCAAAGCTAAACGAATGGCACAGATGGACTATCAGTCGTGCCCACGATATAGCTTACTGGGTAGGTCTTTCCAACCATATGCACCGGCTTTTGGGGACCGACTCGAAAGGACTTGGATGGCCAGAATGTGTCCCAAAGAACTCAGAAAAGAGTCGTACCCAAGCTACGTATCACATCCTCGCATACAAACCACCTATACACAGGCCAAGATCATTTTGTAGGACACTACCCCCCAAAAGCATTTTCTACAGAGTTTGTTGCTGTTCACATCCAAGACAGATGATCCGCAAGGAGTTTGCGTACTTCTCGACACAACTATTATATCTCGTCTCGTCGGGGGCACGGAGTCGTGCTCTGCTACCGCCGGAGACGCTGGCACATCAATACAGATGAGTCGCAAGCACGTAGCTTGCAGAATGTGGCGGCGGCGGCGGCGGCGGCGGCACAACAATGTCAGGTCTACACAAATTGGCTGTCATCACTTGTCTGCCGCGAACTCGGCACCCTTTTCCATGTCGTCGGGTGACGAGTTGACCCAGCCAAACGATAGGCCGGTGGGAAGGATTCCGGGACAGACTTGTCTCCTAAATCATAGCATAATGATACGCCGCGTAAGATGTCTTGATAGCTTTTGAGATACGAACTGAAACAAGCATGGATCTTTTTTGACTGCCTCCAACATACCTTTCTGTCGGTAGTCCAAGCGAGTTTTGTCTTCACGATATGGGCACGAAAGCGTCGTGGCGAGACATTCTGAGATGAGAATGCGGGTTCATCTTGTGTTGGCTCCCAACCATCATTGGGAGTTGTATGTTTGCGGGTGAGTATGCCGGACTGAATCGGGGCAACGCAGTATCTCTTTGGCATGTCGATGCCGCGATATGATAGACGAAGTCGGTGAGGCTGTGGGGAAGGTCTTCAATATTGAGGTTGGAACATCCGGGCGGCAAAAGTTGGGAGATGAGGTAATCTTTGTGAACTAATAGTGAATGACAGTAGGCGTAGAAGACATAAGTTTTGTTCACAAGTAAACTAGCTTGGGTACACTACTCTACAAGCACAAAGGGTATTAGAAATACTATAGGAGATGGCGCATAGGTATGTCAAACATAAGGGGGAACAACAGTGTAGAGCGAGCACCGTTTCTGCCATATGCAGAACATTACGAACTGGACGACATTGTGAAGAGTTTCTGGAGATTCCGCATGGTTCTAAGACTATATTCTCACATGTAGATTACCTCAGTACTTGTCTCAGCTGTAATACGACTAATAAGTGCAGGTCTTCAGATGCATTGTTGGCTACCCCAAGGTCTTTCGGATTTTTGATACACTTGGTAACCCTCGGGTTTGGGATGTGGAAGAGAGCGATGTTACTGCTGGTTGCTTGCTTAATCTCTTGGTCTGCACAAGCAAGCTCATTTGTTGTGACATCTAGTATCTGCCGAATGACTCCGTCACTACAAGACATCTCAGGTCTCTTCTACTCTGCCTTAAAACTCCTTTGAGATATATGAGCAATAGGAAGCAGTTAATAGAGCTATATCTACACTCTCAGCCGATGCGATGATGGTTACCATGATCGGTTGTAGAGTGCAGTTGTGGAGATGATGTGCATCCGGTTACGGGGTGACTTGGAGTTTTGCTCTACTTACTTGACCTCAATTCTGTGGCGTGGAATTTATAGGTTTATTTCTATACATTGTCAGGCTAGAACTCCAACCAACATGAGCGAGGCCGTTACCGTCTCGAAATGCTAGTGCGGAGGTCATGAGACGAGTAGCCCCAGTGACGAGGAGGCTCGGATTTTCGCATTACGCCGTGAACCTTAGACCTGGAAGCTTGGAATCTATAGCGAATGGTTTGATTAGCATATGTTGAGATTGTCAAATAAAACAGGTAAGTTCTCTTAATAAGAAGAGCTCGTGCACATATTTTAGGCAAGCTGTGTCTTGGACCTTTGCTGCATCGCACGAAACCTGTATTGAAGGCGCGGAAGAGGAAGCAGAGATTTTGAAAAGTGTGTAGAGATTGTTCTGGCCAATATAAGAAGTTGAGAAATGTTGCCGAGTGAGATTCGCTGGTTCTGACCTGAGCAGTCTATTACAAATGTTCTTGCATTTTGACTGATAAACTACAGATCGCAATTCTGAATCGTACAAATGATTTGACGGAAATTAATAGGCGGCTTGTTCCGTTTTCTTTCATAATAAGCCAACATTCATCCAGTGGCTGAATGCAGCAGTGACAAGAAGCCTGTGAGAAGTCCGCTTATAGTCTTTCCTACGTTATACAGCTCAAATCCTGCGTTTCAAATATGGACCTACGAGTGGCAATGAGGAGTCAGCCAGATGTTTCACTAATAAGCCAAGCTGTCTGTAGAGGCTTGTGGGTGCGAAGAAGACCAGCCCGTTAGAATTCGTCGCTAATTCTCCTCTTCGTGCAACGGATCACGATTATGAAAAGTATATATGGGTTGATGAGTGTTAGTGAGAGTTGAGATTAAGTCTCCGGCAACTTAAGTGAGCGCGTTCAACCGAGAAAAGCCGATATTGAAACAGCAGCCCATCAAGAAAATGCCTGATTTCCAGCCAAACAGGGTCAATCGCAATTTCATGTTTAAGGGAGAAATGAAAAAAGTAACGAGCAATGTCTAGTTCAATGTTCAGCTAATACAAATGAAACCATCTCATCTTTGGTTACTGATGCCAAGACAACCAGCCTACTAAAAGACCCCTTGGCTTTTCGCTATATGCGTCAAAGCGCATTTGTGGATTGTTGAGATGGATAATAAAGCACTGTTGAGTGACTGATTTATCTTTCAGCCAGTTCAAGTCTGATGGAATTCGCGCTGTGTCGAGTTGTGTGTACCCCGAGCGATGATGCCAGATTCTATCATAAGCTTCTGCAACATTTAGGTGTCTCGGTGAACCGAGTAAACGGCGTAAATACACTCAAATAATCGATTAAAAGGGTTTACCCAATCTAGATCCTGTCGAAGCTATTTAGAGGCGTCTGTCGCGGCAATTGACGCTATCGACCGCAAGATGTGTCGGGACGGCATTCTACCAAATCAGCCGGGCGGCCCGAGCAATGCAATATGCAAGCCAAAGAAGACTTCAGAGAAATCACGACTAATGTTGGGCTGGGAAGGACATGGCGAGAAGAAAAAGCTGCACGGCACTCATGCACTTGGTGGGTGCAGATGAGTACCACCGATGAGACCTTGCTTTGTGAACGAGACATGTTAATGCTTGATCCGAGGGCAGACACGGAATGAGAGCTGCTGCCGCTCCAAGAGAACCTTGTACATGGAAATGCGGTTCTGGATTTAGACCGTGCATCTCTCGCTGGAGGTTGACCAGAAGTGGGCCTTCCATATGAACAGCTCGCAGGTGCGCAGGGGGAAAGCAGATGATGCAAATATGCATAAATAGGCCACGAGGAATCGATACAGAGGGTTTACCCAAGCTAGACCTGGAAGGTTGAGTCGAGGGGGGGGATGGTAGGGCTTGGTGTTGTTTGGGCGCACAGTCAATCACGAGTACGCATCACCACGCTAACTGATGGCAAAAGCCTCGACTCGAGATCAACGCTACCACAATGATTCTGAATCTCACCGTCACAACGGCCATGACGTTGAATTCCCCACGCTGACTAATTGTCGAGTCCCCAAGCTATGACGCGCGCCCCAGCCAGACACCAGGCTAGCCCCTCTTAGCCCTGCAGCTTCCCGTGAAGGCATCGCGTGTCTGGCGTCGCACACATGCCCATCGGCCGACGCCCCAGCCTCGTTGCGCGCGAAGACGACGGGCTGCAGTACTTTGACCGCCTCACCGAGACGGAAGATGCCGCCGAGCTTCTTTCGCGATTCGAGAAATACCACCCGCTCCCGCCCACGACACAGGCCTCGGGCTTCACAACGACGCACGCGGAGAAGTACATTCTCACTGCGCGCGCACTGGGGATCCACAAGCTGCTGGACGGCGACGGCGACGGCGACGACGACAACGACGACGACGTCACCGAGCCACGGCGACGCGCACTCGAGCGGCGGTTCCACGTGGGCGTCACGGCGGTTGCGTCGTTCCACCTGACGGTGCGCAACATCGAGCGCATCAGCGACGAGTGGGGCACCGATGCGTGGTTCCGGCTCCGCGACGCGGGCGTGGTGCTGCCTGTGCTCGCGCCGCCGAAGCGCGTGTATGAGAAGCTCGCGACGATTGCGCAGCACCTGACTCTGGGCCAGTTCGCGCAGCGCTTCCAAGACGCCTGGCCGCAGCTCATACGCGGCCGCCGGCTCGAGGGCCAGCCCGAGCGCGCGGTCCAGTACGAGGACCTGCGGCTGTTCTACGAGGAGCACATTGTGCCTGGCTTGTGAGCTGCACGACGCGTCATGTGACGGTGCCTGGGCTGACAAAGAGGGCGTGCAGGTACCATACACCAGAGTCGTCGGCGGACACGCCATCGCGCGACGACGAGCCGCCTCCCGGTGAAGCGTCGCCACGTGCCGTCGAAGTCGCCCGCGGTGCCCCAGTCGACGCGCGCTTGGAGGAGCCCCGCGTCTCGCATTCTCCCGCGCCCTCCTTCGCACGCTCGCCCACGCCCCCGCCCACGCCCACGCCCACGGCCCCGCGACAAACGGACCTCGATGACATAAGCATCACGGGCTTCGACGTCGACGACACGGGAACGATACACGGTGACACGGGCGTGGCAGGTGCCGAGCAAGACATCGCCATGGTCAGCACTAGGGGGGCAAGCGCGACGGGCGCCCAGCAACCCAAGGCAGCGCACACGACGCAAGATGCCGCGAAAGACGCTGCGAAAGGTCCTGTGGAAGACGCTGCGAAAGACCCGACACCTCCCCCGAAAGAACAGGCCCCCCTCAAAGACGTCTCCATCGACACGCTCCGCAAAACAATGTCTGGCAGGTTCCCCACCATGCTCTCCCTCTTCGACCATTCCTCCCACGCCGAAGCCACCGCCCGCCAAGCCCTCCACAGAGCCGCACAAGGCGCCGCAGACGCTCACCAAGCTTTCGTCCAGACAAAGCAAGACATTGTCCACCAGCTCCCCCCCAACGGGCCCTGGCGCAACAAACACGGCTTCACCGTTACGTCCACGACCCTCACCGCCGGCAAGCAAGAACTCGACGAGGAAGTCGCCCTCGTCGAGGCCCTGCAGGCTGTCAGCTCCAAACACAGCGCTGCGGCACGGAGGCTGGGCACTGACCACTCGAATCTTTTGGCGAAGAAGCGCAAGGCGAATGAGGATGTGGGGGAGGCGATTGTGCTGTTGGGCGACGCGGAGGAGGTGAGGAAGGGCGCGAAGAGAGTGAGGGCGGAGGCCAGGAGGGAGCTTGTTGAGATAGAGGGTGCCGTTGACGCCACCATGGCGTTTGCGGTGAGGTGGTATGCGGGAATCGCGAAAGCGAGGGAGGAGGATGACGGCGGGGGTGGAGAGCGTGGGGAGAGTAGTGCAGATGAAGAGGACGAGGATACAAACGAACTTGGAAATGGAGATGGCGAATAACTGTAAATTGTCTGTACCAAGACAAAAGTGCCTGCACACTTGCTCCCAAACACTGCCTTGAATTTCCACAGACATATTCACCTGTTACCACGCATCTTCGCGTCTTGGCGTGGTTGGCATGGCTGGCATCACCTGACTGCGGTCATGTGCACGGCTAGCGCGGCGCAATCCATCAACACGCGAGCCCATGGTAACAAGCACACTCCAACACTCCAATGTCCAGTCACGTTACCCTGCTTGCTGCCACACATCACTGGGTGTGTAGCAAGCCCCTCGCCGCTTATAGGCGCCCCGCGTCGCGAGGTTGGCCTTGACGACTCCATTATCGACACCACACGACTCACCACACAACTGACCACACAACCCACCAAACGACTGGTCGGCTAATGGACGACAATTCCTCAGGCGCCCCCAAGCTCGGCCCTCCCAAGCGCTCTGCCACCGATGCTGCGAGCACTTCAGCCTCCAAGCGCTCCAGGACCGTCAACACAGGCACGTCATTCAGCCAATCGGCGAGAACGCGCATCATGACGGACAGCAACTACCAGTGCATGAACTGCGAAGCTTTCAACGTCCAAGTTGCCCATGTCTTTGCACAGGTGGACAAAAACTTGAACGACTACAAGAACTTGTCCATGACGCATTTGAACGGCCACAGCGACTTCATGAATGGCGTGCTGCTGTGCCCAAACTGTCACAAGGCGTACGATCGTCAGTGGTATGCTTCGTCTTATGGGGTTGTGCAGAACATCACGACTAACCACGTGCCAGGAAACCGGAGCTCCTCATTGTCCCCAAATACCTCGAATTCTTCATCGAGGCCGAGAAGAACGCCCAAGCACAAGGCACGCGGGTCCCTCCCACCTCGGACATGTACGCCGAATATTGCAAGGTCCGCGACCAGGCTCTGGACATGGCCAAAGGCGGGCAGTATACCCTCTTCATAGACGCCGACTTTCTCGGCCCCTTGAGCCTCCGCAAGGTCGGAGAGGGGAAAGATGCGCAATGGACGGGAGATCCTATGGCTATGTTGTATCGCGCCATGATCGCCTCGTGCCAGATCGTTTCGCCGCGGGGGCTTCCATGGAAGGTGCACAACCAGTTGGCCACGCTGAAGGACTTGTACAGGACCGGCAACGATACGTTATATGCGCGTCGTGATGCCGGACAAGGTGGAGGTGCCGGACGAAGTGAAGATGCTGCTGGACAAGGTGAAGATGCTGCTGGACAAGGCGGAGATGCTGCTGGACACGATCGAGGCACGGGAGCACACCCACCAGCTCCACCTCAGGCCGGGCCTCCATCGTCCACCACACTCTCACCCGCCCACGTCGACAACAACATGAATGCTCACGCTGTTACGGGCATTCAACCGCCGCTGTCGTCTTGCACAACAACCCCTCACAAACGCCAACTGCGAAAGCGAGAGCATACAGACGATGGACCTGACTGCTCGCGACGCTCCAAGTGCACCAAGCTCGAAGCAGGGCTTACTGCAGAAGATACCACCCATGAACGGACAGGCCTCGAACACGTCTGGGACCTGTTCTTGAGTTCGTCGGACCTCCTCAACCCCAATCAGAAGTGCGTTGATGTCGACACGCCTTCAGTTGACATGACCGCCGTCGACAGCCTTGCTGACGCTGCGCCCACCCCAAAGCTGTACAATCCCGACATGGACAACAAAAGGTTTTGGAGATGGGAGGGCCGCACGTCGCAGGACGCTGCCGAATACTGGAAAGCCGTCTTTGTGCCGCTGTATGCGCCTAGGAAGGTCGGTGAGATGGCTGACGCTGGGACTTGTCGTTGATGTCGCGGTAGGCGGTGGTACATTTGCATAGATTTCAGTACTTGGGTGCAGCGTCTGGGTTGGACATCTGTTTCATTTCTAGCTACTGTGATGACTACATAGACTTTTAGACATGAATTCCAACTCTTCAAATCGCTTCGTGGTCTGCACTTGATGTTTCGTGATGCCCTTTGTGTTCGTCATGGTGCCATTACTCAGCAGACCCACTGTTCTGTCGCATTGTCACGTCGCATTTCCACTTGCCGTCGCATCACCACTTTATTGTCGCATCACCACTTTGTTGTCGCATCACCATTCTACTGTCGCATCACCACTTTGCTGTCGCATCACCACTCTCGCGTCGCATCGCTTATAACGCGTCGCATCGCCAATAACGCGTCGCATCATCACGTCGCATTATCAGCCCACATCATCACGTCGCGTTATCAGCCCGCATCACCACACGCATCACATCACCACTCTCATTACCACTGCCTAATAGCGATCTGCATCCAGAGTCACACGCTCACAACCACAACATCACGACACAATGGACAGCGCCACCTTGGGCAGTTTCCCTAGCGCAAACGTGCGGCTATGCAAAACTTGCCATGGCTCGTTTTCGCAGCACGCAAAAACAACACGTAGGGTTTGTACCAGATGCCGCCAAGGTGAGCAGAAGCGAGCCACCCAGGAGAAACTGGAGAGGAGAAAGAAGGAGGTTGCCGAAAGGGGACCTGATTGGAAAGTCTGCACACGATGTCAAAAAATCAAAAAGAGAGAGACGGACTTTGAAATTGATGCTTCGTCAGAGCCCACCCGTTGCATCAGCTGTCAGAATGGTGACCGTCACAAGCGGACACTCGCACGGGCACGGAATCGAAGATCGGAGGACGAGGCTCGTCAGCAATCAACCACGGAGACTCGTCAGCCATCAACCACAGAGACTCAACTATGGATGCTCAACATTCTCCACCCGTCGATGCCCGAACCTCATCTACCATCGGTTTCCGAGACTGATCAGTCACCCATCACGGAGACTCCTCAACCATCAAGTGTGGAGACTTTTCCAGGTCCCTTAGACATCATAGACCCAGCCCTCACAAGGAGTGTCCATCCGGATATGTCTAATTCGACACACCCAAAAGCCCAAACCCTTCGGGAGATGCTCCACCACGAGCATACGGCCAGTGTCGACCAACTTGCATCTGAGATGGAAGAGGCTATCCACAACCACAATGAAGGTTACGACAGTTGCCTGAAAGCCTATGAGGAGTTCTTGCGACACTATAAGCGCACTGACCTGCAAGGAGAGCAACGGATGGAGCTTCCCAATCACCACTACATACCGAGAATGGCGACGTTTAGTCCAGGTTATATTGGAAACGGATCCAGCACACTCCCTCGGGGTGATTTTGAGATCAGTGAGAAACACCATTTGGGTGGATGCCAAATCCTCTGCGCAACGATAGACCAGCTGCGGGCAGCAAAGAAAGGTAAAGGGATACCCCATGCGCCCTATGTTCTCATACCTCCCGACAACAATCGTCCGCCTGACACGAGCAATCTGTTTCGGGAACTTGAACAATCTTACATCAGTTGTGATCTGGAGTATCAAAGATACAGGCGTCGATCAGATAACGACCCACCCACAAGCACGATGCCAGTTGCAGATTTTCTCCAGCGTTTGAATCAACCACATGGAACAAGGCAACTATACCATGATGGTCAACCCCCACTGAACTTCCTCAATATCTCTGGCTCGGTGGGGACGCACATTTCTCGGGAGAATGATGTGGTAGAGGAACTGGATCTCACTTTGCTGCATACGCTGACTTCCTCTCTTCGAGGCAAAATCAACGCAAACATTGGATGTGGCAAGGAGGCAATTCAGACAGCCGCTCTCAACGATATGAAATCGTGTATGTCATTTCATCTCGTTGGAGAACGCGGTACCATGTCTGCATGGCACCAGGACATCGTCGGAGGAACGCACATTACTCCAGTTTCAGGCGGTAAGCTCTGGTCCATTTACGATGGACCTGTGAATGATGAGGTCATCGAGAGTTTTTCAAGTACTGCTGAACATGGTGGCGTCTTATGGAAACCACCTGCTGGCACAGTCTTCACTATCTACCTCGCACCACAGTGGACGCTGGTTATGAATGGGGATTTCACCCCACATATGGCCACCTCTATTGGAGGACCCTTTACGCACCTCGTCGGCGGTCAAGTATGGTCGAGTGAGCCCGAAAAGCTTGAGCCGCTCCTCCAAAAACAGAAGTGGCTCATTGAGAATGTGAATGTCGCTTCAAACGAGCCGGTTCCCCGCCAACTCCCCGACGTTCTTCTCGAATTGGAGCTGTACATCATTCGATCCATCTCCGAACACAACAACCTTACTCGTACCTATCCCACCTCACTGCCGCGCTACACGGAGACTCATCTCCAGCTCCTCCGGTCGTTTATCTCTCATATCAAGCCACTGCTTATGTGCAACTGCAAGCGTGGATCTTGCAGGCCTCCAAAGTGTCCGTGCAAATTCATCTCATCAGAATATGGAGATGAAGTTGGAGGAATTAATACTGTGAAGCACATTGGAGGATGTACCGCATTCTGTCATCCCGACTATTCTGATCCTGCTACACGAGCGTGCAAGCGGACAGCCCTTGCAAAGTCATAAACAAATAGAGATACCAATAGTCCAGCGTCATTTCAAGCATACACCTATCACTTAAGCCCAGTCAATGTTTTTAACGGTGTGGCCAGTCTGAACGACAGCTATATCTGACGGCATGCCACATACAGCCGCTGTACGACAACAGATCGAACGATCCACATTTCATTCTTTTTTTCGAGTTTTAGAACCTTCTCCTCATTCTCAACAATATCAGTCGTTCGGTTGACATCACCATCAACGAGTCTGACGGAAAATGCTTCGTGTCTAATGAATGGGACCGAACATTCAGCGAAACAGCAGGTCTTTTTCAGCCTGACGAAGCAAGGATTCTAGTTCAATACAACCACAACTACCAGCACTATGCGTGGACTTGTGCAATCAGCATCCTTCTTCTCCAGTGCTATCGGCTCAGGGGCACGGACTGGGAAGAGCTGTATGCGACATCGTCCGAGGCCGTAACAAGCTATAACATAGCGAAACTAGGTGTATATGAAATAGAAAGTAAGAGCTTAATAAAGAAGATATTCTATACAGAGGAGATTTTACAAGCTTAAACTAAATAAAATAGTTTTTTATATATAGCAAGCGCTTTTATTAGAGTAAGAAATATAAGAGTATTAAAAGTATATTACTATTAATAAAGTAAGAGGTATTAATAATAGTATAAATAAAAAGAAACTAAACTGTTATAAGAAAATAGAAAGTATTTCTTAGCAAAACAGTAATATCTTCTACCTAGAAGATAAAGATATCTTATTACTATTAAGTATAAGAAAATACTTAGAGTAAATAGGCCTATATAACTTATAGAGCGTTCTATAACACCTAGCTGTGCTAACTAAATAAGACTACTACTAAGACGTGTAATAATACTACTTTAATATTAGATTAGAGCTACTTTAAGTAAGGTTTTATAGATCTTAAGTATACTACTTAAGAAAGAAGATTATAGAAGAAATCTATAAGGTACGATACTTTGTAATAGAACTATATAACTAAAAAATAATAATAATAAAGCTTAATATAGTAGTAATAGTAATAGTAATAGTAATAGTAATAGTAATATTAATACTAATAGAAAGTAGAAAGTACTAGCTAGGTTAGACTTTAAATACGATAGTAAGTATAAATATTAAAAATAAATAAATAATTAAAGTAAATATAAAAAAATAGTAATAGGAAGATTATATTTTAGTTTTTATTATCTATATAATACATTGTTATATAGCTTAATATATCTTAAAGGAAATTTTCAAACTCTTATAACTTAAAACCTAGTAGCCTATTATAAATAAGAGAGTTTAATTTCTTTAGTAATTTCCTTAGTAGTTTTTAGGTAGTTTTAATTAATAATAGTTTTAATCTAGAGATTCTATAACAGACTTAAATAAGAGTAATACTTTATAAAAAGAAAGCTTAAGAACTACTATTAAAGACAATTTAGAAACAATAAAGTAGTATATAGAAGTTTAATTAAAAATATATAGAATTAACTAAACTTTAAAAACTTTTAGTTTACAAAATTATTATTCTTAAAGCTAAATATAAGTACTCTAGCTTATAGGCTTTATTAACTAGTTAATAACTTTTAAGAAGAAAAAAGACTTTATTAAAAATACTTTTCTAGATAACATTAATCTACATTAAGTTATAGAGATATTATAGTATTTTTATTTATTACTAGAGTATCTAGCTAGTAACCTTTTATAGAATATATTATAAGTAGCTTGTGTTTTAAAGTTATAGTAGATCTTTACTTCTTCTATAAGTAGATAGAAGACTATATAATAACTAGAGTTAACTTACTTAATATTTTAGCTAGTAAATAAGTCTTTTTTAATTTAAATTAAATATTAGTAAGATCTAGATCTTATAGTATAAGAAAGTAGATTAACTCTGTTATAGTAGTATTCTACTTTATTTACTTAAATAAACGTATTATTAGTTCTATAGGCAGCTAGGAGTTTCATTAGAGTTAGGTTTCAAGCCTTAGATAATTATATATATTATAGCTTAGTAATAAGAACTCCTTAACTAACTAGTAAATCTTAAGGAATTTTTACTACTTTAGAAGTTATATTCTATATATATATATCTAATTATTTGTATTTTCTTAATTATATATTAATCTTAAAGCTAATTTTTTATATTACTGTATTAGAATAGCTTATAAGTCTAAACGCTGCGTATAATAGTAAACTAAATAGTAAAAAGTTAATATAAGTAGCTACTAGTACTAGGAGAGTTGTTTTTATACCTCTAGTAAAATTACTAAAGAGGTAGTAAGATATTAGAAAGAATTAAGTAGAATTACTAGTTATATTTATAAATATTCTATAGAATTAGAAAGAGAGCTAGATTTTACAAAGTACTTAAATATAGCTAAGTGTAAAAGTATTACTAAGTAAAAATTTATTATTTTTTTAATATAAGTTAATTTAACTAATAAAGCCTTCTAAAATCCTAAGCGCTTTAAGTTAAACCCGCTTATTACTAAGAAGTATAATAACACTGTTATAACTTTAAAAATATACTACCTTTAGTAAGCTATTATAAAGTTTAAGTTTATATTTATATTAAATATAATTAGTGTTATTTTTCTAGTAAGTATAGTTTAGAAAGTAGTATTTATTAAGAGTTTTACTATATCTATACTTACTGTATAAGTAGATATATATCTGAAAATTTAATAATATTATAGTAACTTAATATAAGTGTTAAACTCTTACTCTTCTTTTACAAAGTAAAGAATAGTAAATAAAAGAAATAATATAAATTAAAAACAATTATAGTATATATATATAATAATAGTAAATATATATAATTAAAATATTAGCAAGTTGTAAAAGAATATTTATAGTATAACTCTACTTAATAGAACTATATAAATATAAATCTATAAGACTAAGTATATTTTATTTTAAGTTTATTTTAGTTATAAAGCTTAGTTTGTATTCTAAACTATAACTAGAGTAAAAAAAATTCTTTACTAAACTAGAATATCTAGATATATAATAAGTAGTTAAAAAGAAAGTATAAGTAGTAATAGTATATATTAGTAAGCTAGTAAATTAAGTTCTTTTATACTTTATATTCTTATAGCTTAGCTTATAATATCTATTTTATACTATTTAACTCTAGACAAAAATTTGTACCTTTAATATAATACTGGTACTGAAACTAAAAAAAAGATAAATAATATTCTTTAGTACTATACTTAAGTATAGATAACTATAAATTATTCTTAGCTATATTAGAGTACTAAGAAGACCTATATTTACATTTTAAATAAGCTTACTAAAAAACAAAAAGATAAAGAGAATATTACTTAGTAATATAATAAAATATTTTCTACAGAGGATCTAGATATAAAGTACTACTTAAAGTTTAATTAAAGGCTTAGAGTAAAGCTATAAAAAGTTAAAGTATTCTTCTTTATATAAGCCTATAAAGCTAATAAAGCTCTTTTAAAGACTTAGCTATTCTAACTTAACTAACTTACTACCTATAAGAAGAAAAATACGTTATTATTAATAAATACAAGTTGCCTTTAGTAGGCTTTTGGATATAATAAGTATTCTAGACAGTAGATAGAATTAATAGAGGTATCTAAGTAGGTAAAGAACGTATAAATTAAATAGCAGTATAGATAATATATAAGTAGACTTATTATATTAGTATAAGTAATAATAGTTCTAGTAACTACAAGTAAAGATCTAATAACTTATACTTTTATTAAACTTTTACTACAGTAGTTAGTTTATAAAATAAGAACTAAGAAGTAACAAAACTATATATATAACTAAAATTATTTAGTAACGTAATTTAACAATCCCTATTTTTTATAGTAGAAGAAAAATTTATAAGTATAAGCAGATATAGTAACAGTAATAAGAGTAGTAATAATAACAAAGATAGTTTATAGTAATAGAAGATAGAATTAAAGAGAGATTCGCACTACTTAGATATTAGCTAGTTTAGTTAGTATTAAAAGTAAGCACTAATAAGCTATCTAAATACGTAAGCAGGAAATAATTTTTAGTAATATAATATCTTAGTCTCTAGTCTCTAGAAATCTAAAAAAGCTAATATAAGCTTCTTTAAGAAGATAAAGTTTATACTTCTTAGAGATATAATTTAGAAAGTAGGAAGTTACTTTATAAACTCAATAATTTATAATTAAAAGATATATAACCTAAGTTACTATCTAGAGAAATCTTATCTAGTAATAAATTATAATATTATTTTAATATTTCCTTTAAGTAAAATTATAGTGTACTTATACTACTAGTATAAGTAGATATATATAGAATAGTAAAAATATAATTTTTTAACTAACTATTAAATCTAGCACTTAGCCTCTTTGTATTTAGTAAAGATAAGTTATAATCTAGATTAATAGTAAACAAGAGCTTATAGCTATTCTTTAGTTATTATTTACTATATATAATATATTAAAATATATTTAAGAGCTTTAGTAGAAATAAGAGCTTAGTCTAACTTAATGCTATAAGCTTAAGTTTAGTTTAGAAAACTTTAGAAATAACAAGTAAAATTAAATCTATTACTAAGTAATTTTAGTATAGAGAACTAAGCTTTTATATAAATACTCTTTGCTTCGTAAGAATTTAAGATAAAGACCCTATTTCTCTAGCTATTTAACCTCTCTTATCCTTCTTAACTATAGTATTAATAGTTAGTTAATAACATAGTTATTTTAACGAAGCTAAAAAGTGCTTCGTTCTAGTTTTTATTAATAAGAATAGTTTACTTACACGAAATTTAATAGATTAAACCTTTCTCATAATCTTATATTACTGTTCTACTAATGTTAGTTAACAATAGCAGTTCTAAAACTTAACTTAATTTCTTAAATAAGAAAGGGAGTTTATTTCTATACTAAACTTAAGCTAATTATTTAAGAGTTCTAGTGTACCTGTTATAATACTATTAGTAAATAGATCTTATATTAATAAACTATAGTATAGTAAGTAAAAATAACA